TCCTTTGTTGTCTCGAACATGGCGCTCACATATGCGTTCTCACAATCCATAAGAATGCTTCTATATAAACTCATTCAAGGTTTCATTAATTTTAAGAATTTTAATAACTACTGAATACATATTTGAGTATTGTCCAGTGGAGCCGAATCAACACGCTGCCAGGTATTTTTATCCTCAATATAATCTGAAAGTTGGTAGTATGTCTGTATACATAATTCACGTTTAATATAAGTTTTAAATTTTCGTTCATTAACATTTAATACACTTCTTGGAATTAAATTGTAACAATTTACACAGAACCCCATAAAGGATTTCTGTACTTTGGGCAGACGGAATCGTGGCACAGCCAGCCTATTTTTGCCTCTAGTATTTAAATTATGTCTATCGCTTCTTTTATCAAATAATTGCAAATTTTTCCTTACGTACATAATATTTTTATATATAAACTGACAAGGTACCGTTAGGATATTTATCGTTTTTAACCGACTTCAAAAAAAGGAGGAGGTTCTCAATTCGATTGTATTTTTTTTTTTTTTTTTTTTTTATTTTTTTTTTTTATGTTTGTTACCTCAGAACTCCGTCGTTTATGGACGGATTTGCAAAATTTTTTTTATGATTGAAAGGATATGCTTCCAGATTGGTCCCATTCTTTTCAAAATCAAGTTTTGATGATGGGATCCATGAGAAATCGAGGGAACTCCTCAAATATTATAGGCAACTATATAGTAATTTTAATATTTTCATAGAGCACTCAAGCATTTACAGTCAAAAAGTAATGTTTGATGAGGTGGAACTGGTGAAGAAGATCAGAAATGGATGATGAAACTTGACACTCGCATAGATATCACAATCAAGGTAGTTCAGCAACTATGAAAATGCACTGTAAACCAATGATCTTAAATAATTATGTTGGAAATGTTATCATCGAACTGATTTAATGATGATTATGGAGCTGGAAGGTAGGCACTGGAACTGCGTACCTAATTAATATATCCTAGCCGTGTTTGGGCTTGTTAGAATTGTTATAAGATGCACTTTGGCTGTAAGGTACTATTGAACTGATGTGATGATGAAGCTGGAAGGTTGGCATGGGGCCTAGTATTGTGTAAGCTTATTAGAGCTGTCAAGAGCAATGGAAAGGGCTATGCTCATAGTTTCCGTGCATGTTCGAATCAGAAATGAAGAAATCCGCAGAAGAACCAGCGTCACCGACATAGCCCGAAGAAATGCCAAACTTAAGTGACAGTGGGCACGGCACATTGCTCGTAGAACAGATGGCCGATGGGGCCGAAAGGTTCTAGAGCGGGACCGCACACCTTTGGGGGCGGAGTTTGGCCTAGTATTGGCTATTTTGCATTAGTCCACGTGGACTGCGTTTACACATTAGTGGTGAAATGCGTCATTGTGTTCTTATCGTTTTCCTGGTAATAGGCTAAGAGAATTAATTGGCATTTTTAACAAAACAGTCGTTTTAAATGGGTTACAAAACAATAATTGCGTCGTACAAAACAATAATTGTGTTTCTTTTGTGTGCACATATGTAGATAATACTTACTTAAAAAAGGTTCATACATTGAATGAGTCATAAATGTATATTTACAATAGCGATGGTCTTTTATATTTTTACCAACTTGTCTATATATGAATGTTCTTAGTAATAACAAAATAGTATTCTTCATTTAATGGGTTACAATTGATACAAAACAATAATTGCATCGGTCTTTTTTCTATGTACGAATGTATTTAATCATAGATACTAAATTAGATTGTATTTGGTATCTTTGAACTTTATCTGTCTGTTGATGAAAATATCTAGTTTTTTGTTATTTGGCGAGAACTAATATGAATTTATGATAAGATTATTATTTTATTTTAACTATAAGTCATAAGTATCTCATGCATCATATCATCTCTCCTCGAGATCAAAACGATTACACAGTAATAATGTACTATGATATGTATTTCTACGTATAAGTATGACATTGGTAACTTTTTCAAAAGAAATGTAGGAACGATATTGACTTCTTTGCCATAACACATTATAATAAAAAAAAAAACACTAAACGGCTACAAATAAAAAAAAATTTTACAAAATAAAAAAACCGCCTTCAAAAAAAGTCAAGCAATAAAAGTTCCTACACTAAAAAGTAAAAAATAACAATTTGAATTACTGTAAAAAAACTTAATTTATAGGTAAACTTATTTGACATTAATATTTTGCAAATATTCAAAATTTATTACTTATTTTTGGAGTCGGTGCCAGCCCATGCAAGGAAATACAAATGGGCAACAATCCCTTGAAAAACTACCTCTTACTTAATTATAAAACTACTTAATACCTATTTGCATACTCAAATATAGGTATATTAATTAAGACATAAATACAGATTAGACTTCTCTACAAAAAATGTCCGATTTGCACATTTTTTTAAATAAAAAATATGTACTTACAAAAACATTTTAAGTACATTGAAAATGTTTAAGCATTATCTACGAAAAATGGCATCGGATATTAAAAACCTAACTAACATTAAGTTTCAACATCAAAATGCTGGCACCGACTCCAAAAATAAGTAATAAATTTTGAATATTTGCAAAATATTAATGTCAAATAAGTTTACCTATAAATTAAGTTTTTTTACAGTAATTCAAATTGTTATTTTTTACTTTTTAGTGTAGGAACTTTTATTGCTTGACTTTTTTTGAAGGCGGTTTTTTTATTTTGTAAAATTTTAAATAGTTCTCTCAGAGATTCACGAGGGGGCAAGTTATATATCGCTCGGATCGCCCGCTTTTGCAAAATAAATATTGAATCTACTTCCACAGCTCGACCCCACAGCAAAATTCCGTACGACATAATCCTGTGAAAATAGCTAAAATAGACAAGCCTTGCTGTGTTCACGTCTGTGACCTGTCTTATCTGTCTAACTGCAAAAACAGCTGAGCTCAGTCTTCCCGAAAGCGTCTTTATGTGGGAACCCCATTGAAGTTTATTGTCTAGCGTACCTAATACCTAGGAACATAGTCTCGTTAACAAATTCTAACTTTTGCCCATTTAAAATTATGTCACAATCATTACTGTGTACGTTGGGCAAGCTAAATTTAATACATTTTGTTTTTTTCTCGTAAAGTGCTAAATTATTGACTGTAAACCTCAAGACCACTGTGGTCAGAAGGTAAACCGTTTATAATTTTTTTTTCTAAAAAGCATAAATAATCCGACACAGATACACGTGTCATCTGCAAATTGGTCTGCGAATTCCAAGTGTCGTTAACATACAGTAAGTACGATGTTGCTCTTACCTCTCGAGCGACGTCAGCGTGGTATGTTACTACTGTAGGGCGACGTACTTCACAGGCGAGACCCAGCGAGACCGACACACGATAGGACATAACTTATTGCAGCTGTAGTTGAGACTATCATTTGACTGGAACGATCGCAATTCGATCATTTTGTCTCGCTAATTCAGCTTGTAGAACATTTGTCCAAATAGCGAAAGCCAATTTATTACCACAGGAAGGTTAAAAAAAAAACATTTATAGTTCAAAATTAATTTATTTGAAATCTTACTTACTATTCAATGGAAGTCATGAACCGAAGTGGTCTTTAATATTTACAATGTTTGACGAACTCTTAGGTCACTACTCTTGTTTTCACATGCTTGTACACTTTGCAGACAGGCCCAGCGCACACTACCTGGAAAGAGTGGAGCTCATTTCACACAAGGTATCGCGGTCGCGCGCATAGTCTTCAAGACAATGTAGCAGCTTGAGGGAGCTGCGGGCACTGCGCCGAATTTACTCTATTGACCGTTTCTCAAGAGTCTATTGAATTGTTGTCCTCGAATGCACTCCGCTGCAGTGGCGCAATGTGCGCTGAGCCAAGTGTCCCTGGAATATAGATGAAACTAAACAGGGACAGAAAAGAGATCGCCCAAGTTTTTTATTTAAGACTCTGAATGCCGTCAGTCTATGTTTTAATGGCAAATCCACTATCACGACCCATATCTCATCCCTTGAGGCGTTTGAAAACAACATTTTTTTACAACATTGGCCGTAGCCCTGTATCTAGTAAAAATTTATAATACTGTAATTTTTTAAACTCTCTGAAAACTTTCCATTATGCCTCCCAAGTGAGTGGACCGTTTCTAATAATTATGTTGTTGGAGGATGCCAAGCCTAGCCCTAGTGTAAATAACTTGGTATATTACGAAACGTATAACATTTCATATGGAAATGTCGGCCCTGTGCAAGTCAACCTCTGCGGGCACTTCTTACGCCGTGTCTATTTCTTTTTAAACAACATGGACTCTTTTTATTTACATTTAGGCGTCACTGGGAGTAATATGGTTTTGTTTTATGACGGACGGTAAACTTTCAGACGGATTACCAGATGGTAACTAATGAGCACCGCCCATGTCATGTCATGTCATGTCCACACCCGCAACAATGGAGGAGTTACGAATGCGTTGCCGACCTTTTTTGGATTACGGATTTGGAGATTTTGGGATTAGGAAAGGATTGGGGGAGGGGGAGGATTGGGTCTCTTATCATAATCGGTCTTATATAAAAAACTAAAGGAAACCACGGGCGGCCAGTACCAGCGCTATACATTGCATTACTACCGTTTCTACCAGCGGTGAGGCTGGACGAACTAACTGAGGCGACCCGATCCATACTCGTAGCTCGTAGAGTACAGACTCGTGCGTGCACTACGAGTATTTATATATACGAGAACAACTCTCCGTTGTGGCAGACGAGTCGGACGACAGTCATGAACACTTATTCCAATAAACATGAAAGATAATAAAATTGTTCTATTTTGAATTCGTTTTAAGTAGCAGTCGTGTAGTATAAATACGGTGCTCACCGATGGTCAGTCCACATGTGGACAATTCACGGAGGAGTAGCAGCAGCTCGGCTGAGGGCGGCGAGCGCCAGCAAGAGGGGGGCGCGCGCGGGCGGGGGCGCGGCCGGGGGCGCGCGCGCCTTGCTGCGGCTCAGCGTGGCCGCCATGGTGTCGCCTGCAACACGCCGCGCGTCACGGACTGCCTGCCGGGGCCGGCGGAGGCCAGCAGGTACTCACTGCCTTGCGTCACGTAGACGAAGATGTGCGCGGGCTCGGTGTTGGCGGCGCAGCACGTGTAGTTGCCGGAGTGCTGCGGGCCCGCCGAGCGGATGGCCAGCGCCGACTGCGTCTTGGGCCCCGGCTCCGTGAGCACGGTGACGCCGCGCGCCGCGTCGTAGTTGATCATGCGCGCGTTGTGGTACCAGAAGACGTACTGCGGCGGCACCGGGCTCTGTCGCATACAACCAGACGAGCTGCAGTACAGCGCCTACACGGAGGAAGGAAATAGCTGGCGACCGGGGGGCGCACCTTCTCGATGATGCAAACCAAGTTGATGGTGGAGCCAGCGTCCACGTGGTGCTCGTCGGCGCCAAGGATGAAAGCCTCCGGCACCGCAATGTGCAAGTGTACCAGCCGCGACAGCGTGCCGCCGCCCGTCGACACCTGCAACGACACGCCGCCACTAACTCAGCCAGTGTATGCTTACTACACACAGCTAATTAACTCCGCTGATGCTGTTGGCGCGAGCTTGACGCTGACCAAACATGGCTGACGTCGATGGCTTAGTTCTGTCATTATGTTGGTACCGAGCCGTAGTGCCGTGCACTATAGGTGCGCACTTGCCACCGGCACCGCTCTGAGCAAGAAAATAATCGAACACAATAAAATCACAGACACGGCTACTAATAAGCTATCTTTGACAGCACATCCCATACTTGGACTTGAAAAAGAATAAAATTAAGCTCTGCGCATACTCACCTGGCACTCATAGGTGCCATTATCTCTTTTCTGCACGTACTTTATCTGAAGGATCCAGTCGTCGGAACCCTCACTGTGCAGCACCTGAAACATGGGCACGTGTGTATAGTAAGTACTGGTTGAATGAAAGCCACAATAGAGGGAGGAAGAAGGAGGCTACGGTCACAGAGCGCTGTACCTGGAAGCGTTCGTCGTTAGTGTACATGAGCATCCCGGAGCTGATGATGTGCCAGTCGCGGCGACGCACCCAGGACACCTGCACACAACACTCGGTTAGACGGCGCAGCTTAGAGCAATCCGACGGCAAGGTCTGCAGTGGTACTGACGCCGCGCTCGCCCAGGTTGCGCACAGGACAGTGCAGGAAAGCGACCGCACCGAGCTGCACGACCACATCCTCCTGCGTGTTGTTGATGCTGGGCTCCCGGTGCAGCGCCTCCAGCGAGCCGTACCACAGCTCGCGCCACGCCGGCACCTCCGCCACCTCGGCCAGCTCCAACGCGTCGGGGGCGCGCGTCGACGGCGGTGGCCCGGCAGCGGCGGCCAGCGCGGCCAGCAGCGCCATGCATGCGAGCGCCATGCCGCGCTGCTGGGCTGCCGCCTCGTCTACATGTCGCCGCTGTACCTCACCCGGACTTTACCGGCTTGTGACCCGGATTGCAATCTGCAAACACAGTTTCTCGTTGAAGTAGGTTAGAGCCCGCGGTTTCTAGACTGACTTTCCAGTGGTGTAACAAACTGGAATGTGCATTTGGGGGTCGCCTCTGTGGAAAATTATTTCACTTCTTATTACATTAAGAGCTAAATAAAGGGTTTGTTATTTGATATAACTATCTCGCCTGGCGTTAAGCGTGCCTACGCTTTTAAATAACCTTTTTATTGGGGCCCTTAAGACACTGGGTCACATCTTGGGCACAGACTCGGACAAAGACTTAAACTCAATCATAAGCGAATCTCATAATAAAAATGAAGGCTTCCTGTGTGTGGCTGGGACGTCCTGACGGTCCACCATGAAACGGTGAGATTTTGTTTATTATATGATAGTACAATGGTGGAAAGGACTGGAGGAATCAAGTAGTGCAGTTCGCCCATAGACTGTCGAAAATGCGTCTAGATGGTAGCGGAGCCATACCAATTTTGCGAGCAATACTCTACACAAGTCCAAACTTGAGCTAGGTATAGATAAGCAATTGTTCCGGTGTAAAGTAATGCCTCAGCCTAAACAAACAACCTTCGACAGGACACTTTTCTTCCTGCCACCCATTTGCGCCTACGACTATAGTCTCCAATTCTTAACTCCTCTACACATTTAGGAGCCACAGTTAAAAATAGGATTCAGAGTTTCGCCAAGAATTTGACGACGGTTACTCACAGAAACACATTACCGTTAGGCACGGGACACGCCTAGGTTTTGCTTGCGTTAAACATTGCAATATGAATAAAAAACTTGGATCTGGGGTATTTGACTTTAATATCATAGTACACAGTCGGGCAGCTCACTGCACCAGAGTAACATTGTCAATGGTCCACAGCATGTCTGTGTGTATGTATATTCAATGTACTCTGTAAGAATGTCGACCATGATATTTTTAATAGACAATGGCGGAAGTTCTAGTGCTGTACTAATTCGGACCCCCGCACCCCAGTCCTATGTAAAAGTGAAAATACTGACATGAGGAATTTAAAAAAAATTTAAAAAACCTTCTCCTAACCTATTATGTATATTGTAATATATATACTATAGAAATTGAGAAAATTACTAGTGCGTAGGCCTCTGAGGAATTGTTCGGTTTGATCCCCGCCGCATGTTTTCGCCATCGTTCCACGCGAAAACATGTTCATCCCCATCACATAGATGGTTGGCAGTCAACAACTGTGCGATTCATGTGAAACTTTCTGCCCGCACAGCAAAACTTTGGAATGATCTTCCGGTGGCGGTATTCCCGAACCGATACGACCCACAAACCTTCAAGAAACGAGCGTACTCCTTCTTAAAAGGCCGGCAACGCACCTGTGACTCCTCTGGTGTTGCAGGTGTCCTTGAGCGGCGCCGATCGCATACCATCAGGTGACCTGTTTGCTCGTTTGCCTCCTATTCCATAAAAAATATATATTATGCAGGGCAACTTGAGACGAGGTCAGATCAGCGACCGACAGTATGGATTTCGCCGCACTCACTTAAAAGTCAAAAAAAAAGTCAAAAATCATTTATTCCAATTAGACCTTTACAGGCACTTTTGAACGTCAAACAAAAATTTTGAATATATAGTGTCAGTCTGTCGGTCAGTCCTCTTAGTGAAGCTATTTGCTCGTTCCAAAGTGTTTGTGGGGCGAGGCTCTCGAGAGGAATGGGGAAGCTATTGCCGTTTCCTTAGACGTCTCGAAGGCCTTCGATAGGGTATGGCACGATGACCTTTTGTCTAACCTACCAGCGTACGGCATTTCTCCTGGTCTGATAAACTGGGTAAAAGACTTCCTGAGAGAACGGTCACTCCGAGTTGTTGTCGATGGATGCCGACATAGGCTCTGCTGGCTGCAACTGCTCCACATTAATGATCTGCTAGTGCCTGGTATCCTTGGGTATGCAGATGATAGCACAGTTGTAGAGAGACACCTGCCCAGTGCTCGGGCCAGTAAGGAGCTAATCCAGTCTGTAAGAGAGGCTATGGTAGAGCGTACGAATGTCTCACTTCAGGTAGTTTCCAAATGGGGCAAAGCTAATCTTGTAACATTCAACGCCACCAAAACACAGGCGTGTCTATTCACCTCCAAAAGGAGCCCGTTCACCTTGGCTCCCGCTTTTCGGGATGTATCCCTGGAGTGCACCGACCGCCTTCAGCTCTTGGGAATGGACATTGCTTCAGACCTCAACTTTGGGCGGTTCATTGAGTCCAAGGCCGGGGTAACTGCTATAAAACTCGGCGTGCTTGCAAAAGTCCGACGGTACTTAACACCGAGTCAGCTTCTAATGTTGTATAAAGCTCTGGTCGGTGAATTGGCGACTCTGCGACCTGTCATTTTTACGTGTAAAAATTACATTGTTTCGGCAGGTGCCATAGACCTTACATAGTTCCCATTATACCATTGCATAGCTACCCACAACATATACTTAGCCTTTGTCTCCATTATCCGTAGTAGTCCTACACTAACCGGGGACTTTCCTTGGATGCATTTCCATAGTGCATACAGGGATAGTCAGCAATTTAAGCCTATTTCAGTAGGATTCAAGTTGTCTAAAGTGCCTCTATGCAGTTGGCTTCGGCCTCATACGCCTCCCAAATAACCGCGACCCTGTAATCCTGTGATTGTTAAAGACAATATTATTGACATCATTATTTCTAGAAACCAACTATATTACCCATTCTAGCAAAAAATATAAGTAAATCTGTTCAACCACCTCCGATTACAGCGAGTGATATACACGGCATCAATATACAATATATACACTGATACATTGTGTAGGTCAAATACAAAAACAATAAAACAATGTACTTACATATGTATATATAATTACTTATCGGTACAATTATGTGTGTGTGATCTGTTTACTACATTTTTTATTTATTTTATTAACATGTTTGGTTCCGATGAACGGGAAAGCATCGCAAATCAACATCGTCTACGCGAAGTGACACTCTAAGCAGCTTTATACTAATCAAAGTTATTATGTAGGGACATAGAAAATATTGGAATCCGACGATAGAAAGCAAATATTTTAATAACTTACGATATGGTCGGCTAGAGGAATAGAAGGGAAAAAGAAACGCATTGAATTGCATTGCCTAGGGGACCCTGGATTAATTTGGTCCTGTTGACGAGGGATTGTGTCACAGTAATAGTCACTAGTAATACTAGTGCACTAGCCACCAACACGCGGTCGTAGCTCAGCCTGCATGTCGGGACTCCAGGATAAAGTTGAAGTAGCTTCATCGAATGATTTAAAGCTTCAGTATTAGTGGCGTGTGTTGTTACTTGCCTGTCACTAGATGGCGATGATGGGTTCGATTGTCGCTATTGTTCCGGCGCTTAAAAATTACACACTAAAAGTGCATGGTGTAGTATTTACTGGCCGCACTGGCAGCATACACCGAGTACACACACTGCACACATCACGCGCCGACGCCGCGACGACCGAGCGCGACGGAGGCCGCGCGGTGACTGGAGGCGGCGGCGCGCGGTGACTGGAGGCGGCGGCGCGCGGCGACGGGCCCGCGGTCACCGCTGCAGTACAGGAGCTGTGCTCTCCTATCTTATACATACTACGAAAGATAGTTAACCTACTAAAACAAAATAAAACTTTCTAAAACAAAAAACAACATTCAAGTGCTTTATTGCGGACTGACCAACAGAACCAATGCCGAGCGTACCCCGCGTGCCCGAGTAGGAGAAGGAACAGGATGATTTTTAGTCACTTAGAGTCTCTCATTGTAGAAACTCACGAAAATCGGCACGAATGGGTCGGCTCGACCGGAGTGATACCACGGCCTCACAGAAAACCGGCGTGAAATAACCACAGCGTTGTGTTTCGCCGTGTGACTGAGGTTATCGGAAGCCCAATCCTTCCCCTCCCCCAATCCCTCCTCAATCCCTAAATCTCCAAATCGCTAATCCCTAAAAGGTCGGCAACGCACTCGTTACTCCACCGTTTGCGATCGCTTACCATCAGGTAATCCGTCTGCTCGTTTGCCGACCTATTACATAAAAAAAAACTAATTACGGTACAAAAATACATATTTTATAAACAAAGTGTAAACAAAATTGACTCGGAGCCGGAGTTTAGCTAAACATCGCCTGCGACTGGTGGCGGCTCATGAGTAAGTGTCCCGCTGTGAGTTGACTAGTAAAGCTTCAAATTAGGCTAGTTGTTACAAAAACACTACAACACAATAATAATGTCCGACAGAAAAGTCCGAAACCAGTTTCGGTATCGATCAATGTTGAAACCGAAACTGATGCCGAAACTAGATTTTCCGACACCGAACTCGTTTCGGAAATCCTCGTGCACCCTCGCCTAACTTCGTTTTGCACGGCAACGCGGTCAGCCCTATTCGGCAGTAGGTATTTGGACAAAAGTATCACCGACATATCAATTAAAAGCTGTTTGTAAGATTACATATCTTCAATTAAATATCTGCAAGTCCTATTCGTTAGGAAGCTACGAACCAAGAAAACAAACATTACATGGATTAACGCTTCATTTATTAAAATTTTATGAAAAAGGAAACAAGCAAGTTCTTGCACGTTTATCAGTGTTAAACGATTTAAAAATTGAAGCTAAATTGAAACTAACCTACTTGCAGCAATCGAGCTCAGATCAGTAGACTCTTGTTCAAACAACTATTCCAAGTTTGACCTCAAAACCGGATCAGGCTCATTTTATATTTTGAGGCTTATCTATTATAGCAGCGGTAAAACCTCTCTTTGAGGAGAGGCTTTAGAGACGCCATGGCGTCCTCACCTTCCGCCTGATGCAGGTGCTTACTTGCACTTACACGGTAACTTTGGTAGGTTCCTGTTTCGGATCTAGCCGGGGGAAACGCCCGAGTGTCGTCATTGTGAGGACCACCTGGAGGACACGGTGGAGCATACGGTGGCGGTGTGCCCTGCTTGGGCTGAGCACCGACTTGTCCTCGGGGAAGTGATCAGTGGCGGCGACCTCTCGCGCCTGGCCTTAGTCGAGGCCATGGTTCGTAGCGAGAGGAACTGGGAAGCCGTCTCCTCTTTCTGAGAAGCAGTGATGCTCGCAAAGGAGGAGGCGGACCGCGTGAGGGAACTATTCTCCTCGCGCCCCAGCCGCCGCAGGGCTGATGTTCAGCCGGGGTTGCGGGGTAAGCGCAATGAGGCACCGCGACCTCGGCCCAGAGCAGGAGAAGGAAGGGGGAGGTTTTTAGTCAGTAAGAGTCATAGGTACTCCCTCCTGCTCTGCCCTAGGCGGGAGAAGTCATTTGATGATTTTTCCCAAACAAAAAAAAGGCTTAGATGCAATGTTCGAGCCACCACACGCTGACTAAGTCCAGAATCCAGCAATGCCACCACTTGGGCGGCTTCTGGGGGCGAAGTAAGTATATATATATATGTTTTAGAAAATAATAACTTTTTCAAACGTCTTAAAGTCACAGTAAATAAATAAAAAGAAAAAGGTTAAAGAGAAACAAATTAAATTCTAATTTTAAATTTTAATTTTTCACTTGCTATTGTAAGAGCCATATTGCCAGCTATATAATACGTTTTTTTCATAAAATAAAAACAATTAAAATTTTTCACAAATTAAAACGAAGGTGTTTCAATTTTTTAAGTGAAAAGTAAAAAGTATTTTGATTAAATTAATAATCTATTCTATTCGAGAATTGAATTTGTACCAAAGCCTAGGTTGAAGCACGTTACTGTGTGTTAGATAGTAAAATGTTAAAAGTATATTTTAGTTATAAAATAAATTATTGTGGTTTAATGATGGCAGTGGCCCAGTTCTATAAGTACCACCTAAGTAAAGATTTTATTGAGAACAAACACTGACTGAATTGCGACCATATTATATTTTGTGACTTACCACTTTTGCGGTCAACTAGGTTTAGGGACACAAGAGATATACCTATATATACTTATGAAATTTGATGGCGGTATGTGTTGACTTCTAGAAAAAATGAAAATAAATTGTACGGTCAAGTCGACCAGCGGGATAAATTGAAAAAACAGGAGCGGGCTCCTGGTGTAGGCAGCACTCTTATCGACTGTAACGCTGGAGAGCAGCGGCGCGGCGCGGGAAAGCGAGGAGCGGGGCGCGGGCGCGAGCGCGGGGCGCGGGGCGCGGGCGGGGGCGTGTGTTACGTCACACGGCAGTCGTGGAGCGCCTGTAGAGAACAGCGCGACACTCCACTCGCTAGTTGTCACATGTGGCGGCCGCTTTGTACACACAACGAAACCCCATCGTGCCTTTACTGTATTAAATTCTGGCTCAGTAGGTGTTCTTAAGAGCTATAATGAGAAAAATTAACTAAAACAATACTTTTGTAAGTAGGTACTGCTTACCTACAGCTTAAAACAAACATGTCGGGCCTACCTCCAGGTATTAGAAAAAGTGGTTTGTTTATATTATGTCAATATAATATACGCGTTTCCAGTAATATTCCCAGCGATATTGAAAATTTGAGTCTAAAATTATTTGAAAAGGTAAACTTTAGTGTAAAGCATTTTATCAAATAAAAGAATACGTAGAAGTTTAACTCAAGCTAAGGAATAAGCTGATTTAACCTATGCACTCATGCAGACATTATTGTTACATTTCCTACAATATTTGAATAAAATTCGAATAGCACGGATAGAATATTCGAATATTTGAAAAACAAATTTATGCTGCAACCTCTACATACAAGCAACATGCCGGGAATTCTTGGAGAGTGGGTAAAATGTTGATCAGTAATTAATTGGGTATTTTGTTTTCGGGGAGTTGCACACAGCAGCGACGCGCTACGCCAACGTGAATGTAGCTCGTAGCTGATGTCTGTGCTTAGCTTACCGGCTTGTAGCGCTGCTACGCACCGCGCTACGCCTGGCTCCTCGCCTCGCCTCGCCTACAAGTTACAACGCAAGCCCTGCCCTCGCTTCGTAGCGCTGCTACGTCGTAGCAACTGTTTCCCATGTTGGCTTGGAGGAAGCAACGTTAGACCATTATTAGGTATCCACAATTGCCGTTGTTGTCTGCTCCCCAATCTGCGTAGCCAGCGTTGTGACCGGGTTGACCGCAGCGGAAACACATTTAACTGCCATCTAGGTTTTAATTGAGTTAATATGTCAGTCGAATCACACACAAATGAGTGCGTGCGTATTGGGAGGGATCGCGTACGTATTCAGTGCAGTTATAACCCTTAACCAGGCTATGGATTGAGCATTTTCCACATAGATTTTTACCAGGTTTTGGTTAAGAATTTACCACAATCTGTAAAAACGCACACAGAAATATTACCTATTGTAACACAAAGAAAGAAGTGGAACAGAACACAAATGTCACTTTCGCAGGCATTTCATCTGTGGTCAGCCGCTAAACGGACATTTTTGTAACTAGTACATCGTATTTTTATTCATTATGGAGAATCGGAGAAAGGTAAGTCGTAATTTTTTTTTATGTGTTGTACAATTTGAGTATTTCTCGTGATTTGGGCATGAATTATAAATAAAAACTTCTAAAATATCATGATATGACGAAATAAAACATGTGGGAAACCATATGCCGTAAGCCTGTGAATGCCTAATTGTTGTGAGAGTATATGTCCCTTGCCTGGTGAATTAAAGTCTTTATTTTATACTATGCTTTTGCCATTTTCTTAACGATTTATTTACGGTTATTTATCGATATAAAGTAAACTTATATAACGTATAGTAGTAAACTTTTGTCAGTCTACCTAAGTGTATTTTTTGTTATTCAGGTAATAAACGATCAACAGATCGAATATGCTAAATGAAATGTTTTCATCAGAGGAAGAAAATAATGAAGATGAAGACGCAACAGTTCCTAACGAAGTAAGACTGGGACAACGAACTTCATTTTTTACAATTGTCTACATCTGACAAACGGTGTAGGTTTTGTAGCACAAGGAAACAAGAAAATCGGTCAAAATATTATAAGCAAACAACGTGAATGTAGCAAAACAACAGACTAACTTTTATTCCACTTTTAAAAGTATTTATAGACAGACAATTATTTTTAAACCATAAACATATCTAATGGCGTTACGAGTATCAATTCGAACAAATACCTTTATTATTTTGATACATCATTACAACAAATATTTTTTTTTTTTTTTTTTTTTCCATTTATTCACTACGATCTGTCACATACTGGGGACATTAAGTAGTTGGCTGGTCGGGGTCTGTCATGACATGCTCGGAATGTGACCTGAGTCACTTCCTACTTTACTTTATTGTGCTTTAAGTATGTCCTGGGGCATTTTTCGTTTTAGTCGACGAGTTGCGTGAGTTTCCTCCATCAAGACTTTCGCTAATCTATTTGGATGGTTTGTGATCCTTTCTTTATAGGTTTTTATATGTCGTAGAATTTCTTGTTTGACAGTATGTACTTGGAGGTCGTGATGCAACTGTTCATTTGTCACGTACCAGGGAGCGTCGGTTACCATTCGCAGCATTTTGTTCTGGAATCTCTGCACTATTTCTATGTTAGAGTGAGAGGCTGTCCCCCATAATTGAATACCATAGGTCCAGATTGGTTTTAGTATAGCCTTGTACAAAAGAAGTTTGTTGCTCATTGGTAATTGTGATCGGCGACCTATTAACCAATAGTATTTCCGTACTTGCAATCCCAGTTGTTTGCGTTTGGTAAAGATATGCTTTTGCCATGTGAGTCGTTTGTCCAGGTGTAAGCCTAAATATCTCACATGGTCTGCTTGGGGAATTTCAAGGTTGTTGAGCTTTACTGGTGGACATGTTCCTTTTTTCAGGGTGAAAGTAACATTAACTGACTTAGTTTCATTTGCCTTGATTCGCCACTTCTTAAGCCAATTTGAAATATTGTTTATTCCATTTTGTAAAATTTTTGACGCCTCTGTTGGATCTTCATGAGAAGCCAAAATTGCTGTGTCATCGGCAAAGGTTCCAGTTGTTATGCAGTCTGAGGTTGGTAGGTCTGAGGTGTAGATCAGGTAGAGTAGCGGTCCTAGGACGCTACCTTGAGGGACTCCCGCTTTGATATTACAAAGGCCTGAAAATGCCTCACCGTGGTTAACCAGGAAATATCTATTCTCTAAGAAAGATTTGAGAATGTTATAGACGTAGATGGGGAACAACGTTTTTATTTTAAATAATAATCCTTCATGCCATACCCTGTCGAAGGCTTGGGATATATCAAGAAAGACACTCGCGCAGTACCTTTTGGCTTCAAACGACTTGTCTATTTCATTTATTAACCTATGTACTTGGTCTATGGTGGCGTGCCTTTGACGAAAACCAAACTGATGATCGGGTATCAGCCCATGCTGTTCTACTATTGGCATACTTCGTTGTAGTATCAGCGTTTCAAGTATCTTCGACGGTATGGGAAGCAGACTTATTGGCCGATATGACTTAGGATCCTCAGATTTTTTATCTGGTTTTAATAACATGATTATTTGTGCAGTTTTCCACTGCGGTGGAATGAACTGAAGTCTAACTATGGCGTTGTAAATTTCTGTAATCATTGTTATCCCAGAGTCAGGTAATTCTTGCAGGATTTTATTGGTAATGAGGTCATATCCTGGAGATTTCTTTGACTTGGCTTTTTGTATTACTTTTCTGACTTCTTTCTTTGTAAATCTTATCGGCGTAATTTCATCTGTTTCCGAGGCTTTCAGGTATTCTGTTACTGTCTTCTCGTGTTCTACTGGGCCTTCGTAGGGATGAGGTTGGAAGACATTTGATAAGTGCTCGGCAAAAACATAGGCTTTCTCTTGGTCGCTACGTGCCCAGCAATTATCTGCCTTCCTCAGGGGTGGGGATGTTGTTGCAGGTCGCTTGAGGTTTTTTGTTGCTTTCCAAAGAGAATAGTCAGTAGCTGAGGTGGCATCAAGGTCCTCAAGATATGCTTGGAATCCAGCGTTTCGATCTTGATCAAGGATGTCCTTAAGTTCTTTTATTTTGTGGTTTAATTGTTTCTTTGTATCAGGGCATCTGTTTTGTTGCCACAGTTTGCGAAGGTTTCTTTTTTCACGAATTTTGTCAAGAATACTTGGGGGTACGTATTGCTCAGCTGGTTTATGTTGGACTATCGGAGTCGAATTCCAAGCCGCACTCTGGATACTAGTGGTAAAGAATTCAATAGCATTTACAATGTCATTTTCCGTTTGAAGTGCAATTGGTCCGCCGAATGCCTCATCTATTAGGATACGAAACAAGGTCCAGTTAGTCCTTTTATTGTGCAATGTACATTTTTTGGTTGTTTCTGTAACTTTCGCTCCAATTTCCACAAAAATAGGAGAGTGGTCCGATGATAAATCCCAGCAACTACGACAAGTAATGTTGTTTTTAGCTATACCTTTGGTGATGCAAAAGTCAATTATGTCTGGTATCTTTCCTTTGTCAGAGGGCCAGTATGTGGGTTGTCCTGTTGAGATAACGTTCATAGCTCCTGCCTGTACGCTCTTAAAAAGTTCTCGGCCTCTTGGTAAGGTTAACCTGGAGCCCCAAAATGTGTGTTTGGCATTATAATCGCCACCCGCTATGAAACGATTGCCAAGAGTTTTGAAGTAATCATTAAACTGATCATCCTTAATAGTGTGTCTTGGTGGGCAGTAAAGAGACGATATTGTAATGTTACTTATACAGTCGTACGCAACTACACTTGTGGCTTGGATATAGTCCTTTTGATATGATTGAGATTGATGGTGTTTTATGTTGGATCTGATAAGGATGGCTGATCCACCGTGTGCTTTACCGTCTGGGTGCATCGTATGGTATAATGTGTAGTTGGGGATTTTAAAGAAGCTCTTAGCTGTAAAGTGAGTTTCAGAAATAGCATAACGTCAACATTATTTGTTTTTAAGAAAATTTTCAACTCATTTGAGTGGTTTGACAGGCCATTGGCATTCCACACGCATAGCTTTATGGAAGAGAATGTGTTGACAACTTCGACATGAGTTCAGCTAGCATCTGGGTCATTGTTAGCATTTGATTCATGAGAGTCTGTATTGAGCTATTAAAAGTTCGAAGAATATCCGCTATGTGTTGTTCGGTAGTGTTATTTTTGTTTGCTTCTGCTTTTTGGTCATTTTTTACAGCTGCTGCATATGACTTTCCTGGATTATTCTCAACGTTTCTTTGACTTACTTTGATTACATTTTCTGGGCTTTTAGGTTTTCGGTTATTGGGTTGTGTAATGGGATATTTTATTTTCTGTAACTCCTTGTAGACAATGCATCCCTTATAATTGGCTGGATGGTTACCTTCACAGAGAATGCATTTCACTTTGTCGTAACGTTCTTTCCTAGGGCAGTTTGTTGTGTGATGGAGTCCAGCACATTTCACACAACTGGATTGTCTGTGGCAGTACTTTTGTGTATGACCATATTGTTGGCAGTTGGAACATTGAGGAATTGCGCGTTTAGGTTTTGGTGGTTCAATTTCTATACGACAGTTAAGGAGTGATCTGATACTATATATATCCTTATTGTTAGGACTTGGTTGCAAGTCTATGAAAAACATTGGGAGGGGTTTTTTTGTTCTGCTGTTTTTGACATTCCAAATATTGTTTGGCTTATGGTGTAATTCTTCTAAGGCTTGTTTTATTTCTTCAGTATCAGTTGAGGGATGCATGTGTTTTAGTACTACTCTGAAGTTTTTCTCACCTTTAGGTTGGTATGTGAAGAACTCAGTGTTTCTACTTTTGAGTTCTTTATAAATAGTCGAGTATGACTCGGGGGATTTAGCCTGAATTTTGACTCTTTCACCTTGTAAGATTTTGATTTCGTAATCTTCGTGAGCCACGTCTTCTAACATTTTTGATAGGGGCTGAATATTACTGACCTTGTCAACGAAGAAAGGGGGAGGCTTTTCTATATGACGCGTTACTTGGTCTGCAGCTTTCGTTTCTTCAGGAATTGCTAGTTCCGCAAACATATTCGATGTTGGTACTGGTGCCGCCAGCCAATAACTCAGTTTGGTTTGTTTCTGGGTTCGTGACGTTGTTTCAGGACTGCTTCTCAGTCTCTTGCGACTGTTCTCTTTTTGCCAGTTTTGTGTGTCGTTTTGGTCGTTTTTATGAGCATTTTCCACATAAAGAGCCTCTAGGGTTTGTGTGTTAGTTACAGGTGCCTCTGATGATGTGCCACTGTAAGAGTTCGATCTAGGTCTGTTTATAAAGAGACCCTTATGAAAAATCTGCTGGGTGAGATTAGATTTCGGGTTTTTAGTTTTTGTATTTATATTCTTAGAGCGAAATTTGCCCCCCCCAGAATCCGAGGGGCAGCCTGAACTCTGCTCGAGGGAGCAGTGTTCAGGGAGGGATTCTCCACGATCTGTGGTACCCTCCTGGAGTAGATATGTTTTAGATTCCGCCATTTCATAGTTTGTTGCTGATCCACAGCTTTGTCTTTTCTGTCGGGGTGTGATCCCTTAGGCCGCGTCTTACGAGACTAAAGGCACGCCCATGCCTACTGGTTTTGGTTCGCGCTAGGTATTTGATTTCCCTAGTACCTCCCATATCTGGGGGGCATTCCCTATCCACCACCTGGGACGCGGTCGATGGGAGTCCAGCAACTCCACACGACTACAACAAATATAAATGCGAAATTTGTAAGCAATGCGTTACCCCTTGCATGAAAATGTACCACCAAAATCAAAATCCAGAAATTCTTAATTAATTCTTGGGGAATTTCTGAAATTTGCTTTTTATGGCTTTCTTTGTTTCTTTTTGTATTGTGATCAAAATTCAGAAAAAGAATAAAACTAACTTTTTACTTCATACAATCCTTGTTAATAAACAACAAACATAAAACATTCAATCAAAATGACAAACGTTTTTTATTTTATATATCGATAAAATGTCGGGCCCTCGACAGGCAATGGGATTATGTTTTCCTACATGTTCTTTTTCAGGTTTTCAGCTACATTTCTGAATATAATTGAAAAAATCTCATACTATTTATGTGATTACTCATCTAAATCTACGAAAAAAACGTCATTACTGCAGAATTTGTTCCAGGCCTCACTAGTGAGTTGGGTGTCACATATTGCGCTTATTCTATTTTTATGTTCTGACCGTAGGACGGTACAATCCCTTCAGTTGCCTAGGAATGTTCAATAGTCACCTGGTCCCATAGCTGTGATTATGTCAGAATCGTTAACAGCAAAGTCTCCAGGTTTACTTTTGCCGCGTACATTGTTTATAGTTTTCCATTTTTGTAATTCAAACTGCATAATAGTATCCTTACTTAATTTTGCTGTGTGTTTTCATTTATATTTCAGTTTTAGCAAATCCATAGCTTGATATCGTTCATACAAGTAAGATGTGATCTCTGAATGGTTACTTGTGATGGCTTTTTAAGACAATATCCGGCTTAGCTACGGGAGTTACAGGGCGACACACATTTATCGCTGAGACAGTCGCTCTGATAAAATACACTCATCTATACTTATAATAAATCTGTTGAGAGGTCAATTCTGTACATGAAACATATTTTCAAAATAACTATCAGGGGGTGATCAGTGATAGATACTGATACCAAAAATACAATCAGTAAAATTTTTGTCTGTCTGTCTGTCTGTCTGTATGTTCCTTATAGAAACAAAAGCTAGAAAGAAAGAAAACACATTTATTCAGCTACTGGACAGATTTTAACAAAAGTTGGTACAATTAATGTTTATTTTCCTAAGGAGGTTATAGGATACTTTCATCGCGCTACAATTATTAGGAGCAGAGCAGTGAAGGTAAATGTTGGGAAAACGGGAGAAGTTACTCTATTTTTTTAGCATCTGTCGCGTGTGCAGCATTGAAATCATGTTCAACATAAAATTATCTACAAAATATCAGACAACAGTATGTCTAACTTTTATGGTTGACTAACAATAACACGTGTGACTCCGGATAGCTCAGTAGTTCGGAGCATTCTGATTATATTTGTTTTTTACTCTTACGTTTACAACACTTCCCCTTATCCCTATAATTGAAAAAAAAATACATTGTTATATATTCAATAAAAAAAGAATGATAGAAATCAGCCTAGTTCATGCGTGCATTCAAATCAGCCTAGTTTTGAAGTAATCATTAAACTGATCATCCTTAATAGTGTGTCTTGGTGGGCAGTAAAGAGACGATATTGTAATGTTACTTATACAGTCGTACGCAACTACACTTGTGGCTTGGATATAGTCCTTTTGATATGATTGAGATTGATGGTGTTTTATGTTGGATCTGATAAGGATGGCTGATCCACCGTGTGCTTTACCGTCTGGGTGCATCGTATGGTATAATGTGTAGTTGGGGATTTTAAAGAAGCTCTTAGCTGTAAAGTGAGTTTCAGAAATAGCATAACGTCAACATTATTTGTTTTTAAGAAAATTTTCAACTCATTTGAGTGGTTTGACAGGCCATTGGCATTCCACACGCATAGCTTTATGGAAGAGAATGTGTTGACAACTTCGACATGAGTTCAGCTAGCATCTGGGTCATTGTTAGCATTTGATTCATGAGAGTCTGTATTGAGCTATTAAAAGTTCGAAGAATATCCGCTATGTGTTGTTCGGTAGTGTTATTTTTGTTTGCTTCTGCTTTTTGGTCATTTTTTACAGCTGCTGCATATGACTTTCCTGGATTATTCTCAACGTTTCTTTGACTTACTTTGATTACATTTTCTGGGCTTTTAGGTTTTCGGTTATTGGGTTGTGTAATGGGATATTTTATTTTCTGTAACTCCTTGTAGACAATGCATCCCTTATAATTGGCTGGATGGTTACCTTCACAGAGAATGCATTTCACTTTGTCGTAACGTTCTTTCCTAGGGCAGTTTGTTGTGTGATGGAGTCCAGCACATTTCACACAACTGGATTGTCTGTGGCAGTACTTTTGTGTATGACCATATTGTTGGCAGTTGGAACATTGAGGAATTGCGCGTTTAGGTTTTGGTGGTTCAATTTCTATACGACAGTTAAGGAGTGATCTGATACTATATATATCCTTATTGTTAGGACTTGGTTGCAAGTCTATGAAAAACATTGGGAGGGGTTTTTTTGTTCTGCTGTTTTTGACATTCCAAATATTGTTTGGCTTATGGTGTAATTCTTCTAAGGCTTGTTTTATTTCTTCAGTATCAGTTGAGGGATGCATGTGTTTTAGTACTACTCTGAAGTTTTTCTCACCTTTAGGTTGGTATGTGAAGAACTCAGTGTTTCTACTTTTGAGTTCTTTATAAATAGTCGAGTATGACTCGGGGGATTTAGCCTGAATTTTGACTCTTTCACCTTGTAAGATTTTGATTTCGTAATCTTCGTGAGCCACGTCTTCTAACATTTTTGATAGGGGCTGAATATTACTGACCTTGTCAACGAAGAAAGGGGGAGGCTTTTCTATATGACGCGTTACTTGGTCTGCAGCTTTCGTTTCTTCAGGAATTGCTAGTTCCGCAAACATATTCGATGTTGGTACTGGTGCCGCCAGCCAATAACTCAGTTTGGTTTGTTTCTGGGTTCGTGACGTTGTTTCAGGACTGCTTCTCAGTCTCTTGCGACTGTTCTCTTTTTGCCAGTTTTGTGTGTCGTTTTGGTCGTTTTTATGAGCATTTTCCACATAAAGAGCCTCTAGGGTTTGTGTGTTAGTTACAGGTGCCTCTGATGATGTGCCACTGTAAGAGTTCGATCTAGGTCTGTTTATAAAGAGACCCTTATGAAAAATCTGCTGGGTGAGATTAGATTTCGGGTTTTTAGTTTTTGTATTTATATTCTTAGAGCGAAATTTGCCCCCCCCAGAATCCGAGGGGCAGCCTGAACTCTGCTCGAGGGAGCAGTGTTCAGGGAGGGATTCTCCACGATCTGTGGTACCCTCCTGGAGTAGATATGTTTTAGATTCCGCCATTTCATAGTTTGTTGCTGATCCACAGCTTTGTCTTTTCTGTCGGGGTGTGATCCCTTAGGCCGCGTCTTACGAGACTAAAGGCACGCCCATGCCTACTGGTTTTGGTTCGCGCTAGGTATTTGATTTCCCTAGTACCTCCCATATCTGGGGGGCATTCCCTATCCACCACCTGGGACGCGGTCGATGGGAGTCCAGCAACTCCACACGACTACAACAAATATAAATGCGAAATTTGTAAGCAATGCGTTACCCCTTGCATGAAAATGTACCACCAAAATCAAAATCCAGAAATTCTTAATTAATTCTTGGGGAATTTCTGAAATTTGCTTTTTATGGCTTTCTTTGTTTCTTTTTGTATTGTGATCAAAATTCAGAAAAAGAATAAAACTAACTTTTTACTTCATACAATCCTTGTTAATAAACAACAAACATAAAACATTCAATCAAAATGACAAACGTTTTTTATTTTATATATCGATAAAATGTCGGGCCCTCGACAGGCAATGGGATTATGTTTTCCTACATGTTCTTTTTCAGGTTTTCAGCTACATTTCTGAATATAATTGAAAAAATCTCATACTATTTATGTGATTACTCATCTAAATCTACGAAAAAAACGTCATTACTGCAGAATTTGTTCCAGGCCTCACTAGTGAGTTGGGTGTCACATATTGCGCTTATTCTATTTTTATGTTCTGACCGTAGGACGGTACAATCCCTTCAGTTGCCTAGGAATGTTCAATAGTCACCTGGTCCCATAGCTGTGATTATGTCAGAATCGTTAACAGCAAAGTCTCCAGGTTTACTTTTGCCGCGTACATTGTTTATAGTTTTCCATTTTTGTAATTCAAACTGCATAATAGTATCCTTACTTAATTTTGCTGTGTGTTTTCATTTATATTTCAGTTTTAGCAAATCCATAGCTTGATATCGTTCATACAAGTAAGATGTGATCTCTGAATGGTTACTTGTGATGGCTTTTTAAGACAATATCCGGCTTAGCTACGGGAGTTACAGGGCGACACACATTTATCGCTGAGACAGTCGCTCTGATAAAATACACTCATCTATACTTATAATAAATCTGTTGAGAGGTCAATTCTGTACATGAAACATATTTTCAAAATAACTATCAGGGGGTGATCAGTGATAGATACTGATACCAAAAATACAATCAGTAAAATTTTTGTCTGTCTGTCTGTCTGTCTGTATGTTCCTTATAGAAACAAAAGCTAGAAAGAAAGAAAACACATTTATTCAGCTACTGGACAGATTTTAACAAAAGTTGGTACAATTAATGTTTATTTTCCTAAGGAGGTTATAGGATACTTTCATCGCGCTACAATTATTAGGAGCAGAGCAGTGAAGGTAAATGTTGGGAAAACGGGAGAAGTTACTCTATTTTTTTAGCATCTGTCGCGTGTGCAGCATTGAAATCATGTTCAACATAAAATTATCTACAAAATATCAGACAACAGTATGTCTAACTTTTATGGTTGACTAACAATAACACGTGTGACTCCGGATAGCTCAGTAGTTCGGAGCATTCTGATTATATTTGTTTTTTACTCTTACGTTTACAACACTTCCCCTTATCCCTATAATTGAAAAAAAAATACATTGTTATATATTCAATAAAAAAAGAATGATAGAAATCAGCCTAGTTCATGCGTGCACCTTTTCGACGATATTGATTATTATCTTGAAGCATGGTCAAGATAATAATCAATATCGATACATATAGGTATAATAAACAGTAAAAAATCGGTCAGGTCTTAAAAAATAAATAAGAAAACCTTTACAAAACCTTTACCTTTTGGGGATTAAGGGTTTGGAAATTTAGGGATTGGGGGAGGGGAAAGATTAAGCCTCCGGTAACCTCGCTCACACGACGAAACACAATGTAGTTATTTCACGCGGGTTTTCTGTAAAGCCCTGGTATCACTCTGGTCGAGCCGATCCATTCGTGCCGAAGGATGGCTCTCCCACGCTCCTCTGCAATTATGTTGTTTTAATGTACTATATGTGTTTGTTGTTGTAGTAGTGATTGTAGACGTTATAATGTTGTGTAGTGTTGGCAAGCTTGGGGCAAACCTAATGTGATTGCTCTGTGTCGGGTCGTTAATAGTGTTTTCGGCAGTTTATAAGCTAAAAGCTGTACAAGTTATGCTAGTGGCTATGAATTCTAGTATGTTTTGGGTACCTGAGATAAAGTCCTTTATATTTTTAGTTATCAGTACCACCCGGTAACTCTACAAAGCAAAGATCTCCATCTGGCTGTTTCGTCCGACATTCAGTGAGACGTATAATGAAGCTGTGTATCGTCTTGCCATATTATTGACCAAAATGCCCGAAGTTGGTCTGTCGTTGGTAACTCTACTTGTTTTAGTTTTCTTTTTTTAATTTTCGTGCCTTGTGTTTTTAAATACTTACTTATAGCTTTACTCTCCTAATTACTTTAGTAGATTAACACAATATATTGTTTTATTCTACTACAGTCTGCTCAAAATTTTTCTGTAAAGTATATCTCTTTCAAGCCTTAGAGTCTCACCCTGCGTCGCCGCGTCGCACGACCTCCTCTCGTTGTCGGAGGTAATCAACGAGTAGGTAGACGTCCCGCGGTCAACCAGAAAAACGCCGAGTGGTCAACGAGTGCGCCGTCTACTCTAGACCCGCGCTAGCAGCGCCCAGTCAACGCGAGGCAAACATTCGAGCAGCGAGCAGCGAGCTGTCACCGAGTCGTCCATCCGCCGCGTGATGAGTTGTTTTACGAGCAGACGGATTACCTGATGCTAAGCACTCGGCGCCGTCCACGGAAACCCGCTACAGTTTTTTTTCTTTTTTTTTAAAAAAAACCATTAGCCTACACTAGGACTTTCTTCTGTGTCGTGGGTGCGTTTACAAACATACAATTTCACATGCACATCACACCCAGACCCGGAAGAACAATCTGTGGATCACACAAAGAGTTGTTCCGTGCGGGAATCGAACCCGCGACACGTTGCGCTGCAGCCAGTTGCCCAGGCACCGCGCCAACCGTGCAGTCAAAGGTGGACTAAAGGAAAGTAAAATAAAGCAAAGTGCACTAAAGGAGTAACGAGTGCGTTGCCAGCCGAGGGGGTTGATGAGGGTTTAGGATATTTAAAGATTGGGAAGGGATGAGGGGGGGTATGGTTGTTGCCTGCCGGTTAAGCTACGGAATTTATTTATTTATTAATACAAAATGATCTTAGATGTAGTGAGCTTACGGTGGCGGTGGTACACAACCATACAAAGATGCCAAGCAGCTGGAAGCGACTCGGTTCGGAGCGGATGCCGGCTGTAATGAGCCAAGCTGTCATGATGTCGTGTTCGTGGAATATCCAGTAGTTTTATAATGCTGTGCAGTAAATTTGCGAGCATTGCGAGGATGATCTTCCGCAATGTACTGAATGAGAATATTTTTATAAATATATTGGCAAGTTGATGTAATTTTGGCGAGTATCTAAGTTTTGGTGTTGTTGCCGGTTGCCGGGCGCATCCCGCAATGACAAATTACCGACTTATCCCAATAAGTGTGTATGTGTACATATATTTTCCCGAATAAACATTAGTTTGATTTGATTATGTGGTGGTATGGCGGAGCGCGGATCCAAGTATACCGGCAGACCAGAGGTAAAGCATTAAATAAAATGACAACGTGAACAAGTCAACACTATAATTATTAAATAAAACACGCGAGGTGCAGAGCACTACGCGTCGAGCGTGGGGTTCCTTAAAAAAGTGAGATCTTCTTCGAGCCCTTTGTCGAAGAAGCAGTTGGAGGGCGGGCCGGTGTGCGCGGCCAGACAGCGATGCTGGCGCAGCAGCAGGTACAGCAGCAGGTTGTACTCCGACGTCGCGTTCTGCACCATCTTCAGCGTCACCTCCAGCTGCTCCTGCTGCGCGTCCCATGCGCGCAGCCGCTCCACGCTCGCGCCCAGCTGCTGGTTCAGCTGCAACGACACGTCCCATGTTACACTATGTAGTGCAAGGTCCCTGGATCGTGTTGGCAATCTGAAACGATGTATACCCACCTTTACAATTCTTCTCTCCATCAGTTTCCTCTGAATCCACTCGCAAAGGTACGTTAGCATTCCCAGCGCCAACAATGAGACTGTGGCGAAGAGATCAAGCGGCGGCAAGTGAACGAACGCAAGATCGAACCAGCCGAAGGTGGCGGCGGGCGTGTCGAGCGGGTCGGTCGCGGCCAGCGGGACCTCGACGCCGGCGTACAGGTCGGGCACGTAGTACTGCGCCGGCAGCAGCAGCAGCGCCACCACCGCCGTCACCACCAGTCCGCTCGAACAGCCGCTCAGTGCCATTCGCAACCCACATCCGTCCGCCACGGTCACTAGAGATCACTGCACAGAATTATCGATATCAAATTGCCCGTACATTTGTGTTTTATTCTTGCTAACAATTTATTTACACTTCTGTTATTGTTACTTTTTGACAGATACAATTTTTTTTACTTCTAGGTTCACAGGACATCCGCTTCTTTACCTATATGGTGACGAAGTAACTAAACGTCTTAGGTGTTGTTAAGTAATGAATTATTAATAGATCAGATTTTTGGGGAACTTATGTTTTGGATACTAATTTGTACACAGCGACGATTAAACCATGCGGTCCTCCTTGGATACTCACACAAAGTATATTATCCGGAACTGTCGTCAGCCGCCGCAGAGTGGGCAACAGCATCCTCAGAATTTTCGGTGATTTAACTGCGGGTCCCGGCGCATGAAGACGCAAGCCTAGTATACTAATTGGTTAGTAGGTAGCTACAGTGGCGAGTATTATGGCAAATCGCTTTAAGAAGGAGGCTGTAGTTCGACAGTGAGCGTATGCCAGCTGATGTTAATGACAAAAACATTAAAATGACAATAAGGTGACATTAAATTGTATGGGTCGTGGGTCATGCACACAGAGTGCATTGAATCATGTACCTACATAAGAGGATTGAGAACACATCAGATTTTCAAATCTGATCTCATCATTGTTTAGCAGCAGTCTAGCCTATTTTGCAGCACGAATTCTGGATTTATTTTAATGAAAAGGTGGCATCTCCATCTAGGCATCTGGATTGACAACCCACCTGGAACTCTTTAAATAATAGATGGATATTTATGAAAATTAGCAGCAGGTTGTGTCATTTAGCAGCAGTTCTGCATATAACAAAAATGAAAACATAGTAAATTTTATATATTAACGAATTTCCTTTTTCTCCTTAATCCTGACGTTCTAATGAAAATGATTGACTATAGCCACCTGAGATTTCAATGGAATCTAAAGCCAGAGATACTAACATTTAGCACATCTACTGAGAGTCGTGCAAACACGTTCAAGACTGCATGCCGCTACCGCTGCTACAGATGATGAGATGACCTCGACAGACTTGCAAATTAGTTATTGTTCACGCAATAAACTTCACGTTAGCTTACTTAAGTGCCGGACACGCTTTTCTAACAGCTAGAAAAGCGGCTTTGCGGAAAAGCTTTGAGGAGTGGCTTCAGAGATGCCATGACATCTTCACCTTCCACCTGACGCAGGTGCTTACCGGACACGGCAGCTTCGCTAGGTTCCCGTTTTGGATCCGATGGGAGGAAACGCCGTCTGGGTGGTCCTTACAACCGTATGTACCTCCAGCAGACGGTGACAGTGTGCCCTATTTGGGCTGAGCACCGCCGTGTCCGGACTCGGACCTTTCCAACTAAACCATACCTAAATAGGTACTTTTGAAACGTCAAAATAGAGAAGTAGTCTGTCAGTCTGTTCGTCATTGAAGCTAGGTGCTCATTCCAAATTGTAGATTCGAATGGAGAAGACCGAGCAAGAAACATCATTCGTTACTCTTTTAAAAAAAATGTTTTCCGGGAAATGATAATGGCCTTATTATGAGTATGAGGTGCTGAGCGAGAAGAACTGGAAAGTCTCCTCTTTATGCGAAGCAGTGATGCTTGCAAAAGAGAAGGCAGAGCGCGTGAATAAACTATCCTCCTCACGGCCCAGCCACCGCAATAGGTGATACTCCGAGCGTCGGGGATCAAAAGGTGATCTCCGGCCACCGAAAGCGTGGGTCTGTGGACGGCGAGTAAGGTTAGCTCGCCACCCGACCAGTATCAGACCCAACTGTATGGCACATTGCTTTCCGTGCGCGCCTTAAAGACTTATCACCACAGACGGGACCCTACATAGCTCAACCGGGGTTGTGGGGCTAGCGCAATAAGGTAGGTACCGCGGCCTCGGCTTAAAGCAGGAGAAGGAACAGGGGTTTTTTTCCTAGTAATAGACTCGCATTCTAACTCATCGTCTCGCCTCACCCTGGGCGAGAAAAGTCATTGGATGATTTTTGCGGCACAAAAAGGGGTCAAATTTTGAACACCTTCTAACTTAACTTCCGAAACATAGAATAGACCTTTATGATTTAATTGAAGGTTGCAAACCAGGACCCCTACCATAAATTACAATCATTCATAATGGTATCATTTACATTTGGGGATCACTCTACAAACTATAAAAGTAGAATAAATCAGTTTCCGCGTTCTAGCAAGCCTAAATATAAAAGCAATACGTAAGTTGTGAGTAGGTACGCCAGAAAACTAATATACGAGTAACTGGGGTGAGGTTAGGCAACCCAAAAATGTTTTGAGCGAGCGATTTTCAGAAATGTATGTTGTTACCAACAACTGTTAGGTACTTACTCGTATTTTATGGTATTGACTGCAATCTAGACGAGATAGCAAAGAGTATGTATCCTCTTCAGGCTATCTCGACCCATGTATTCGAGGACACCGTCATGTATCTTTTCAGACATGGAAATTCGCGTACTTATTATGCTATAACTGTACAACTTTTTGATATTCACCATAACCAGTCATTTACACCTGTAACACTTTCAATAGGATTAAATAGAGGGAAGAGCATGAAAACATCCTAAAGACTGACGTGGCACTGCAATTTGCGGTGTACTTTTTATTTCTATTTTAAATAAATTAATTCATTATGAAAGTTATGAACATATTTCATGGTACCTATTAATAATCCTATAATATACTAGGAGTGGCGTCCGTCTTGAGTAGTTAAGAAATTAGGAAGAGAAAACAAGTGTTAAAAATAAAAGCTCCCTCCAAAGTTCCAAGTGACTAACTTTTAAACTTTTGCGTTCCATATTAACAACATATATTTATTTACACGGGTATTAACGCGGACACTTTCACCCCGGAGCATCGCCTGCTACTTTACAAGGCGCAAGTTCGGCCCCATATGGAATACTGTTCTCATCATTGGGCCGGGGCACCCCAGTACCAGCTTCTCCCTCTGGACCGCATTCAACGACGAGCTGTCCGAATTGTCGACTGCCCTGTTGTCTCGGACCGGCTGGACTCTTTGGCACTGCGTAGGGATGTAGCCTCGCTATGTATTCTCTATAGCATCTATCACGGAGAGTGTTCTGAGGAATTATTTGGTTTGATCCCCGCCGCATCTTTTCACCATCGTTCCACGTGGAAAAATTTTCATCCCCATCACATAGATGGTTGGCAGTCAACAACTGTGCGATGCACCCGAAACTTTCTGCCTCGCACAGCAAAACTTTGGAATGATCTTCCGGCGGCGGTATTCCCGAACCGATACGACCTTCAAACCTTCAAGAAACGAGCGTATTCCTTCTTAAAGGCCGGCAACGCACCTGTGACTTTTCTGGTGTTGCGGATGTCCATGCGCGGCGCCGATCGCTTACCATCAGGTGATCCGTCTGCTCGTTTGCCACCTATTCCATAAAAAAAACACTCGATTCCACGTCGACGACAAAAGCCGTCCTCCCGATTGAAATTATTTGGGCATTTCTTTACTTCAACCGCTTCACGCACAAGTCTTGTATGGTAGTGGCGATCAGTGGAGAGAATTTGAGGTTGGTGGAATTCTATCCAGTGATTAGAACCGGCCATCGCATCTTCAGTCTGCTTGTAACCACGACCTGTGCAACCGGGTCGAAACGTCTAGCCTACCAAGGTAGGTATTCAAATAATAATTGTCCGCGTAAATATCCAAGTGACTTTGACTCACGGTTGGCGTTTTGGTTGGCAACTGGCTGCCGCGCATCGCGTCGGAGATTCGATTCCCCCACGGTCTAATTCCAGGTCTGTGTAATGTGCATCAGCATGTGAAATTGTATGTTTGTAATGCTTGAGCCACACTAACGGGAAATACCAATTTTTGATTAATGATAATTATTGAAAAGTGGAAAATATACCTTAAGTTGCTTAGTGATTAGCTATGATTAACGTCCATTATTGAGATTCCCGTTAGTGTGGCCCAAGCGTAACCGAACCCACGACACAGGAGGAGGAATCAGGGTGTGGGCAACGTTGTAAAAAAAAAAATTAACATAAACACTTTTGACATTAACTGTCACTCTCACTAGTGTCATGTCATGTGTGTAAGTGTGTTGATTACAAAACTCGTCTTAATTAATTTAATATTTAACTAATTTTCTAACCCAAGCAAGAAAAAAAGCAAGTGTTATTGTATGATGTAGCTATATAATATAAATACATACTGCACCAATTATTTAAATAAGCAAAAACATTAAAGTGTGTGTAATAAAACCGTAGTGCGTAACTAGATTTTTTCTTTTCATAACTAATACCTACCTTCAAACTTGTTTGTTTCCTTATTTATTACGATCAAACTAATATTCAAAGCTGTACTTTAATCAGGGTAAAAAGTTATGTGGAGTTGAACTGCAATTTTTGTATATTTCTCATTCTGCACTACCATGAAGAAAGTAGTATTATTCAAGAGTGAGTCGGAAGATTATGTGAAAGCTTTTCTTGAATGTAACTACAGAACTGTGTTCGTGGAGCCGCTGCAGTTTGAGTTCACTAATAAACAAGAATTGACTGAAAGGCTGCTTCAAGATTACACAGGAATTATATTCACAAGTCCACGAGCTATTGAAGCTGTCTCGAAATGCTGGGACCCAACACGGTTTGTGATATGGAACACCAAAAAGGTTTACACTGTAGGTGATAGTAGCTGTCACAAGATTAAGTTGCTGCTTGGATTAGAAGCCTCAGGCATGTCTTCAGGAAATGCTGAAAATCTAGCTAAACAGATTGTTCAAGAAAATGCTGCAAGCTCCAGATTTTTATTTCCATGTGGCAACCTGAGATCAGAGGTTTTGCCAACTATTTTACAGTCGTCTAGCATCACAGTAGATGCACTGACAGTTTATGAAACTACAGAAAACAAAAATCTTAAAGCAGATCTGATAGAACTTAATGAGGCAGACAGTCCATGCTGCATGGTGTTCTTTAGCCCGTCAGGCTGTGAGTACATACACCGCCAGCTGCAGACCTTCAGCAATGCTCTGGCTGAGTTGCCACACTTTGCTATTGGCAACTCAACTGCATATAAAATTGAGAATCTTGGGGTTGAGGTAGCTGGGATTGCAGCCAAGCCAAGGGCAGACAGTGTGGTAGAGTCTATACAAAACTATTTTGCAAATTCACCAAGTAGCTGATAAATATGTTTCAGGCAAAATGTTATCAGAATCCGAAGCATAAAGATCCATAAACATGTAATGGCTAATTAATGTATTAATTACTAATAATATGTATATTAGTTGGTAATATGTTTCTAACATTTGGCTTACAGGGCAGAATTTCACTTTCATAGTCAACAAAATTTTTGTAGTTATTTGGTACCTTGAATTTTAAATTTTATATATTTTATATTTCTCTCCATGTTCCTAGTACACACATTCATAAAATGTGACTACAGAGTATGATAGTAATCAGATAAAAAATGTCAGTCATATCTAGAAAACTTTTGAAGTAATTTTATACTTGTAACTGCTGTTTTCTAGCAGTTAAAAAAATATATTAAAATTGAAAGATAATGTTATGATACATACATATTAAACTAACCATCTTAGTCTTTGTATATTATGAATTAATCTGGATGATAAAGCTATATCAGCACTTTTTTATTCTTTCTGAAACTGAAGCCTATCTAATAGATTTTTCTTTATCCCTGAAAACGACTACTTACAAAATTTCATCAAAATCTTTCGGACCGTTTTCTATATAAACTAGAATGAATATATTATTGTATAACTCACTAATAAAATGTCTGTTTAAAGGATAGTCCTTTTTTTTCTTACTAATGTGTAATCATGGTAGGGTTTTTTTAAACAATATGTTTGTTAATAGTTAGACTGGTATAAGAGATATTTTCCAGATCTGTACCTGTATAAGTTTTACAAAAAGTAGGTACACGAGTCGGCAAATTGGAATGGATTCCCGCCATTCTGATGACAACCTACTTTGATTGTAGTACTTTTATTAAGTCTACTGTTTAATAGGTTAAGTCTCGATGTATATAAAATTGTTTTACAGAAATGGTGTTGGATGATGTACATTATATTACTGTTGATATAAAAAATTTATTTCATTTTAAACCCATTTCACACTAAGCTGCTTGCTGTCATAAATTGCTGTTTTGATCAGATTTAGTAGTGAATCAGATCAATTGGTAGGTAGTTATGTGGTATATCCTTATGTTTTTGTTAATGTATCAGTATATTTTTTTTAAACATAGCGTGCCCTGTGACTAATATATTTTATAAAATAGGATCTCTAGGAGCCTTATCGGCACCTACATACATTTATTTTGTATATAAAATGTAACCTATTGAAATCATAAGCTGTTATAGTTAGGGGCTGGCAACGCAAGCACCACCATTTTTTGTCAGGGAAAAATCATCAAATAAATGGCTTTTTAATACAGTTACTCAAAAAGTGGCGTATTGCAGGGGCGTGTGGCGTTCGGGATCTGGGCTATTTCACCATATTTCACACTCGTGATTTTTTTTGCCTTTCCCGAACTCGTGCGTTTTCTTTCCCTAACACAAACAACAAACATGAACCTTTAACTAAAAAAAAAATCTTGCAAATAGGTTTATGTATTTGTTTCTTTCTAAAAAGAAGCTACCTGTACTAATTTGTCCAATATCATAATTATTTATTTGATTGAATGAGTTAGGTGAGGTTTCAGTGCATTTCATATTAAATTATAATAAAATATATTAAGTACTAAAGTCTTGACTGTATGGGCAGTTCCCTTTGTCTACTAGAATGGGAGAAAAAAACTGCTTACATTCTACGGTTGGCGCATATTGTTCTTAAAAAAAACGTTGCCCCACTGTAGGATTTTCTCCTGTGTTGTAAGTGCGTTTACAAACATACAATGTCACATACACATGACACCTTGACCGACCCGAAACAACAATTTGTGGATCACAGTGTTGTTCCGTGCGGGAATCGAACCCGCGACACGTTGCACGGCAGCCAGTTGCCCAGCCACCGCACCAACTGTTAATTGAGTTTATTGTGTTTTTATAATTTGATTAAATTGCTTAATTTTTTCGCAACTGTATTAAAAATAGTGGTTCAGTACAGAACCGTCATGGCAACTCGTTCCGACGATTAACCCTCGCCTTCGTCTCGGGTAGACATTTGTCGGAACTCTGCAATGACAGCCATTCCGCACTATTAGTAGGTACCTATTCCGCCCGCGCTAAGGCGAGGGAGTGTCAGACTGTTACTAACGACCGACTAACCCCCCCCCCCCCTTTGCTTCTCCTGTATTAGGCCGAAGCCACGGTGCCACATTGCGCTTACTCCGCAACCCCGGCTGAACATCAATCTGTAGGAAAGTCGTCGTCTGCGGTTTGAAAGTCTTATCGGTCCGGAAATAAGAAGAAAAATCATTCTAAAGTTTTGCTGTGCGGGGCAGAAAGTTTCGCGTAAATCGCACAGTTGTTGACTACCAAACACCGTATGTTTGGCAGTTTCCAGGGATCTATGAAATATGAAAAAAATGCAGCGGGGATCAAACCGAACAGTTCCTCAGAACACTCCCCGTGGTATATGCGATGCGATAGACGACTCACAGCGAGGCGAGACTACATCCATACGCAGTGCCAGAGTGCAGCCGTCCGACGATTCGAACTTACCTCCAGAGGAGTCACAGGCGCGTTGCTGGCCTTAAACACGATATAAGGCAAAGGAGTGCAATACGTCGCTAATGGTCTAAACGTGCACGCAGACAGGAAACTATGTTTTATAATTATTATTCTCGCATCTCGGCTTTCAGCAGCTTTCGAGGACGAGGCGCTTATCGTAGTTGAAGAAATGGGAGGGTCTTTAAGAGGGAGACAACACTATTTTATTTTATTTACTATACATTTATGACTCTCAATTCTCATAGTCGTTTAATTTCTTCTATAGGGCCATGCGTAGGTAAAACGCCCAGCCCTGTCTATACTAATATTATAAAGAGGTATTTTTAAGTTCGTATGTAGGGGGGTAAAATATTTGGAACCGTTGGTCGGATTACCAAAATTCTTTCACTAATAGATAGCTACAATGGTCCTGAGTGCTATAGGCTATAAAACATCACGCTATGATCAAATAGAGCAGCGGGTGAAACTGCGCGGTAGTAGCTAGTATGGATATAAAGGTGGTAAAGGTAGAGTTTAACAAAAACTAATATTTGTATAAAACCATATAATTATTATCATTAAAATCTTTAAAGTAAAAATGACTGGTACATAATTAGATCGAGGTCACCTGTCACATGTTCTCGTTAAACAAACTGCCGCACGGGTGCTGAGTATCGAGTGGCTGGCACACCCAGCGGGTACTGGCGCCACTCTCACGGGACAAACAATACTTACATGTGATATGTATAAGACATACAAAAGAATATTAATCGAAAACCGTAACAGAGGCGCACTCGGGCTGGCCACGCCGCGCGCCGCCTGCGGGCAGGGGTAAGTCGGTAAGCTCGCGGGGAGACCACACATCGGACAGTATAAAACTCTTTTCTATTCATAACTCGTATTATATGTCCAACTTGTCTTAACACTAACTATAATGTACGCTTACTATGTACGAACAGTAATATAATATTATCATGCAAACCATCTGATCCATTACAAGCTTACGAGGAAATAAAGATCCGACGTACGCGTCGCATTGACAACAATTATAATTACGACTATTAACGCAATCATAAATACTTCGCTTATAATTAAAATATTACCCTTCGAATATATTCCGTGTACAGTTTATTATATGATTTTATATTTGCATAAATGGCAAAGGTTATACATAACTTTAGTAAACAATACGCAGTGGACGAAGAGTAAATGCGAATGAATATCCGATGCAAACTTCAGGAACCAGACATCGGTACAAAACACGACTAGACTCACTAAGTATTTGTGCAAAAACTAATCGAGGAACTGTCGTCGCTCGTCAAATATACAAATGATCCATCGCTATACCTAAGAACTGACTAGAATAAAAATCAGACTTGCAGAAATCATAAAAAGACGAGGCCGGACCATACAAGAGGAACCGGCATACAAAACTATAAAATGGGCCGCCTAGAAGTCGGTGGCGGGCGGCCTTCACTATAAGGGGTCGTCGCGAGACGTGGACGCTACGGCCGGCCCCGGCGCCGCCGGCACGGCCCGGTACGCCGCCCCCGGCGCGCCCGCCGCTCGGCGCCGTAGCCAGCCACGCGCCCCGCCCAGCGCCAGCGCCAGCGCCAGCAGGGCCCCGCTCAGCGCCAGCGCCGCGGCCGCCAGCAGCAGGCGCGCCAGCGGCGCCGGCGCCCAGCGGTACTCGGGCGCCGCCAAGACGGCATGCAGCGTGAGCGCGCCGCCCAGCGCCAGCGAGCCGGCGCTCCAGGCGCTGGTGGCGGCGCCCACGGAGTCCCAGGCCAGCGGCAGCAGGCGGTGCAGGCGCGACACGTGCAGCGCCAGCAGCGCGGCGTGCAGCAGCAGCGACGACAGCGCGGCCAGCAGCAGCAGGCGGACGCGCGCGCCCAGCGGCAGGCGCGCGCCGCGCCCCGCGCCCGCCCACACGCAGCAGCAGGCGCCGCCGCAGCACACCTGCGCAGGGCCACGGTCAGCACGCCGCCGGCCGCGCGACCACAAGGCACGCGGGCACTCACGAGTAGCAGCAGCGAGGCGGCGCCGCGCGGCGTCAGCAGATGGCGCAGACGGCAGTAGAGCGGCGCGAGCGCGCGCGGGCGCGGCGGCGGCGCGCGGGAGTAGTGCGCGTGGGAGTCCCAGCTGCGCTCGGTGAGCTCGGTGCCGGCCGGCGAGCGCCCGCCCGCGCCCGCACCGCACCCGCTGCCCGCTATCTCGAAGTCCTGTTCCCACACCCGTAACATTCGTTTAGTACGCAGCACACGCGCTCTCGCCGACGGGGACATACATGTTACCCATGCCAAAGATACTGGGGTCAATGTATTTACTCTTTAATCCATCACTGAACTCCTATACAAAACTTTGAGTCAATATTTTTTGATTAAAGAAGAGTAGGTTTAGTCTGCTTAAGCCTTTATTGTCATTGGCGGTACACATGAGGTCTCAGTTGATTATCTTTTTCCAACAGCCCGTCTGTGATGTTTATCACCATCACTGTTAGATTTGAAGTATTATACTAATTCACAGTCCAAGGTAGACTACTAATTCCCAAATTAAAAGAAGAAACAATAAGTATTTATCACTTGATCAAGATAATATGGTAAATTAAAAGTTTTAATTTACAATTTACAAATAAATATTCTGAAGTATTCTTTCTTATTATATGAAAACCTTGCATGTCATGTAATAAAATACACTTCAATTATTATCTTAACATGCTTAAGCTTGCAATCATGGTAATTAGCAACACAATAGAACAAAAGGTGAGCTAATTTTAATTGGACTTTAAGTTAGACAGTTTTTGTTAGCTATGAATACAGATGTTGGCCAGTGAGGATTCATATCTTTAAAGTAAAATCAATTTTTGAATTAGAAATTATAATATATCTTGAGCCCATTACAATGTGGGCTAAATTTACTTCTGAATATGAATACCTATGCATAACATAATTATGGTTATTTATATCTAATTGAATGTATTATTAATCATCATATATTACATGGCAATTGCTTAAAAGCATCAACCAAAATTGTTTAGGAAATGCAGATGTGAGTTATTCACCAAAACAAACCAGACCAAGTCATATTTCAAAGAAAAACGATAAACAAAAAAAGCTATAGGTTTTTCAACATCTTATTAAACTATAGGTAAATATAATTAAAGATACTATTGAGGGGAAATAGATTACCCGAGGGGAAATAGATTATTAATGAGAATTACAAAATGCTAGCAATATGAAGTGCTTTTAGCACCATGCACAGGGTTTTATGGTAAGCACTTACGAAGAGCTGGTATTACCTGGTAACCTTTGTATATACCTGCACGTCTTCGCCGCGACAGCTTGTAGGCTCCAGCTCTCGTATCTCGTCCAGCAGCAGCTCCACTTCGTCCGTCGAGTAAAGTTCGCTCACTGACACGTAGCGCGCCGGCGCCGCTTGCATATCACCCGGCGAGTCGCCTACCGCCGAGCGCCTTCGCCCCGGCACTTTCTGTAACCACTAACCACGCTCACCATAACGTTCCACTCGGTCTTTCTCCTGTTGCCCTCAACGTAATGGTACAAACCTTTTCCGCACGTTAACATTGAAGCTCCGTCCTTTTGTATGTGACCACATCATCCGAAGGCGTGAAATCTTCTATTACAACAATGTCGATCTAATAAACAAAATTCGATGACGCTCCATGGTCCGCCATGTTTGTTATCATATTTTTTTTCTTTCCGTCACCGTCAATTGAGTAGGGTAGTACAACTTGAGTCAAGAACAGTGCTACCAGCTCAATTAATAATTGTGATTTTTCAATACAATAATTATATTTCAAAATCATGAAAATAATCATACTTTCGTTTATTGATTTGAAGTAATAATACATTTTATTTTTGTCTTGTTAAAATAAATGTGGTAATAAGCAAAGACAAAATAAAATTTAATGGCAGGAATAGATTACCCTAGCGAGCATATCGTGCTAAAAATCCACGGGTTTTATACATTTACCTACATATTCTACCAATATAATACCTATATATCATATTCATAGATTTCAGAAATGGTTTTTTTTTTATGTAATAGATCGGCAAACGAGCAGACGGATTACCTGATGGTAAGTAATCAGCGCCGCCCATAGACACCAGCAACGGAGGATTTACGAGTGCGTTGCCGACCTTTTAGGGATTAGGGATTGAGGAGGGATTGGGGGTGGGGAAGGATTGGGCCTCCGGTAACCTCACTCACACAGCGAAACACAACAGAAGATGGTGGATGGTTCCACAATGTCTTACTTACTGCTACTACTCACTTGAATTAACTGAGAAAAGCTCTACTAGTTTTAAGTCATAACGGTCCTCTTAAAGTCATAAGAAGCGTGTGCGTCGAGTTTGTTTTTACCCGACTGTGCTGTTAATCGTTGAGGAATTCCCTCGACTGTCAATGGTCTGCATCATCATATTCATCATGTATGGCCGGGGTTGCGGGGTAAGCGCAATGAAGCACCGCGACCTCGGCCCAGAGCAGGAGAAGGAACAGGGGGGTTTTTAGTCAGTAAGAGTCTGACACTCCCTCCCGACCTGCCCTGGGCGGGAGAAGCCATTTGATGATTTTCACCTCACAAAAAAAACATCATGTATACTGCAAACCTTCAATATACATACTTACATAATCCATGTAGGTGCAAAGTTCACATCAATATAAATGAATTAAGCCCAAACACAAGGTAACTACTCCAAATAGTGCAGGAGATCCCTCGACGGTCTTCCGGCTCCATCATCAGGTCGAGTTCTACCATCGGCAAGTTGTAGTGTTGTAAAAAGCCTATTAAAACAACGTGCAAAAGTACTACTCGCCCCTACAATTTTCCGAAGTTTCCCCTCCGTTTCCCTAGGATTCCATCATCAGATCCTGATCTAATGAAAATGAGACCGTCTCGGGAGAGACCGTCTTGCGATGAAATTTTGTATGGATAAAATATTACCTATTTAACAAAAAACAAACCGACTTCAAAAAGTAAACTAAAAAGCAAAATTATTTTTTTTTTGTACAAAGTAATACATGTTTTTATTTAGGTAAATAGAAGATCTTATTATTAACTATTCTTATAATCTTGAAGTCGGTGCCCAAGTAAATGCTACATACCACACAACAATAGTATTAGAAACATGTATTGTTCGGTACCTAGTAATCATCATTGTTTTACTTGGCACCTGGCACCTGGCACTTACCACCTGGAAATCATACCCTACTTAACAAAAAAAAAATTGCAAATCGGTCCAGGCGTCTTCGAGTAATCGGTTTCCGACGAATTAAGAACCTCCTCCTTTTTTGAAGTCGGTTATAAAGGTTTAGACCTCATGTATGTAGGCAGTAGGTACATTTGTTTTTCAGCTTCCGACTGCCACAGGTGCTTACCGGACACGGGTGTTTCGGGGAGTACCTGTGTCGCATAGGCCGGGAGCCGACGTCTCAGTGCCACCACTGTGGTGAATGCCGCGACGATAAGGCGCTGCATACGTTGGTGGAATGCCCAGCTTGGGCCGAGCAGCGCCGTGACCTGGTCGCGGCCGTAGGAGCTGTGGGAAATCTCTTGCTTCCGGCTGTAGTATCGACTATAGTCGGGAGCGAGTCAGAGTGGAGTGCCATCGCTACCTTTTGTGCCGTGATGCTCGCAAAGGAGGCGGTGGAAAGGGAGAGAGAGGCTGCCTCCTCTCTCCCCTCCCGCAGCAGACGCACTAGACGTCGTAGGGTGGGCGACCTGCGGCCACCGTAGGACGCAGCCTGCGGACGACAGACTCGGGGCGTCTTGTCGTCCGACCAGCTGCAGGCCTCGAGGCGGCGGCGCCGTGTTCCGCGCGCTCCTCATAGATGAGTCCTGCGGTCGGGGTGACGGCCGCAGTGGGTGACGGGGCCCGCCTTACCATCTGGCGGGCCAATACCCGTCGGGGGGATGCGACGAATGCTTCGGCGATACCCGCCCCTCCGACACATGGATAATTGGAGGAACACCGGGTTGGTTTTTAGTCAGTAAGAGACTGACAGTACCCTTCGCCCTTCCCCGAGGACGGTGGGTCTCCATGAGGATTTTCCAACCCGACACCAAAAAAAAAGGTACATTTGTTTTATTTCAACAAGGTGTTGACGCGCCTTACTGTATGTACTATCTATATCTATATCATTAAATGTTAGGAAAAATGTCATGGATTTCCGCAAATTAACGCCTGATTCTATAAATTATATCCTTAGCGTATTTTTAAAGTCTAAGATCTTGCGGGATATCTATTCTTACAATAAATCTGTAGAGGGATCAATTCTGTACATTAAATACTTATATTTTCAAAATAACTACCAGGGGGTGATAAGATATCGATACTGATGCCAAAAATGCAATCAGTAAAATTCTTGTCTGTCTGTCTGTATGTTCCTTATAGAAACAAAAACTGCTCGACATATTTTAACAAAACTTGGTACAATTATTCTTTATACTCCTGAGCAGGTTAAAGGATACTTTTCATCACGCTACAAATAATACGAGCAGAGCAGTGAAGGGAACTGTTGGGAAAACGGGAGAAGTTACTCTCTTTTGTAAGTTTCCGTCGCGTGTGTAACCTTAATGGTTAAAGTAAAAAATATTTCCGTCAAACATCATTTCTATTTAGAAATGATGTATGACGGAAATATTCTAAATAAAATTACTTATCTAAAAAAATAGTTTTACAGCATATGTCTATCTTTAATGGTTAACTCACAATGGCACGTGTCACTCCTGATAGCAGTTCGGATAATATGATGGATGATGCAGTCTGTTTAGATATGAGTATTATGTGATTAAATGTTATTTTTTATGCTGTTCTTTGTTCTTAAGGTACGATGGGACCACAGAGTACATTATTACTAGATGGGACTGCATACGCATTGCGATAATAAAAGACCCTGACTAGTGTTATTTAAGTTACGTAGACGGACGTTAGACATGTTACAAGGAAACAAGCTTACGAGTACCTACCTACTTTCTATTGATCTATACCTACTTCAATGAATAACTCGCGAACAAATAAACAGACCACCAATTTGTACAAAGAGTATGTACCTATTTAATAGCAAAAATATGTTTACAAATTTTTTCTCTTAACATTGTTTTAATTAACAACTAGGCTCGATGAATCGTCACTTTAAGAAACAATCAACATGACAAACAATACGTATCTGTCGGAAGACAAAATCCTATTTCTTTAGCAGTCACAAAATAAGAAGTCAATTTGATATTCTATTTTTCATTTTATAATTTCCAATTCCAAAGTTCTTTAAGTACGTACATTATTTACTACGAGTGATTTGAAAGCTAACAACGAATATGTTTAAATCGATACTCATTGGATAAACGGGTAACGTAGTAAGTAATGAATTAGGTACATGTTTTATGATTTTACATTGACGTTCGTTAAAGTTACAGCGGCAGTGTCAAAGTTGGCTTCTTATTTTGTTAATAATTACATTACGTTGGCCTTGGGCCGTACCGTAGGTATAACAAAGTTAATCAAACATTATCAGTCAATCAAATGAATGTCGATGACATTTCACACGAAATACAAGCACAGCCTGCATTCCGTAGCAAGGTAATAATTATATGCAGTCAGAGTAGGTAAGGTAAGGGGACAAGGCTGTACACATAGCTTTCGTCACGACAAATAGAGGGTAATATCACAATAGCACTTACAACAATATCAACTAGTCTACTACAGTCTTCTTACAACACTAATGCAACAACTAGGCGCCGAACCCGGGCGGCGGCCCCAGCAGGGACGGGGCGCAGGGCGCGGGCGAGGGCGCGGCCAGGGCTCGGCCCAGCGCGCCCACCAAGTACCAGTGCGCCGCCTCCGGGTTGACTCGCGCCAGCTGGCTGTACGTGGCGCACTCGGCCGGGCTCAGCGCCGCGCCGCCCGCGCCCCAGTAGCAGGGGCCTGTCCCGGGCCACTGCAGCGGGATGCTAGTACTCAACTCCCTCGGCTCGCGGGTGTGGTGTGCGGCGGACCAGGATGGCGATGTTGTCGGTCGAGGAGACGGGGAAGCTTGGGCTGTAGTAGGTGATGGCGTGGATATTGGGGCTGGCAGGAGGCGATCGGAGCTCGTAGGGACTGGTACCGGTGAAGGGGTGCGATGAGGTGCAGGGGCGCGCGTCGGGACCAAAGTAGGCGAGGTACGCTGAGCAGGGGCGAGGGCGCGTGTGGGTGCGGGGGCGCGGGAAGGCGCGGGGGCGCGGTTCGCGGCGGGGGCGGGGGCGCGGGCTGGGGCGGGCGCGAGCGGCGGCAGGCACATGGGCACGTGGCGTCGGTAGGCCTCCACGTAGTCGAGCGCGATGCCATCGCTCAGGTAGGCGCTGATCTCGGCCAGATTGGGCGTGTCGCCGTTTTCCAGCGCCTCGAACCTCGGGTACAGGTAGCATTCTGCCGTCTGCAAGCACGCAGACACGTGAGCGCAGCCCGGGCCGGTACAACGCTGGGCGCGAATCTCGAGGACACGTTCCACGGACTTACATACCGCAACCTTCCCCGAGGTTCGAGCGCAGCGGTTCCCACACGAACACTTGTAACGCAGCTACACGGGCGAATGTATTACGTCCGAGTTTCGTTTCGAGAGAAGAACGACTAGACGGTCTGTTAGTATTACAATAATTACGGTGACTTTATTGTTCTCGTGCGAAATATTTGAGTGACACGTCAAACGCGAAGAACGAATAGGACAAATAGAGGGCACAGGTTGATCAACAAGTCAGACGGGCGGCGCCAGGTCGGGCGCCAGGCGGTGCAGGCGCGGGCAGGCGGGCGCCGGCCGCGCGTGCCGCCGCCGCAGCTCCAGCAGGCGCTGCAGGCGCGGCGCGGGGGGCGCGGGGGGCGCGGCGGGCGCGGGGGGCGCGGGCGGCGCCGCGTCCGCGTCCCACGTGCGCAGGCGGCGCGGCGGCGCGCCCTGCAGCTCGGACGCGGAGGCGGACAGGTCGCTGAGGCTGGCGGAGCTGGCGGAGCTGGCGGAGCGGCTGGGACTCACCCGCAGCGAGGAGTCGGGGCGCGGGTCGGCGTGCCCGGCGCGCACCAGGGCGGCGCTGACGCAGCGGTCCTCCGCCTGCCGCGTGTCTATCAGCAGTACCTCCAGCAGCTCCTCCTGGTTGTTTACGCGTTTCTTTACAATATATAGGATAGGGTGGCTGGCTTCGATCAAATATTCTGAATATGTATATAATTATATGATAAAAATCAGAATATACGATCGAAGGTAATTTGTGACCGATCTTTAGACACATGATTGACTCATGGTAACAAACAACTTTCCCAATGAAACATTTTTCTATACTGTATCTGCGGCAAGCGCAGGCTCACATTATACAACGTGCAAATAAGTGAAGCGAGTGTGTGGTGAAGTGCAAGGTGGACACATGCACGCATTAATGGTAGTTAAATTTTAGTTTGATTAAAACTGTAATTAGAGGTAGGTTGTTCCAATATTGCAAACACGCCAGTCTTATACGAAGTTATAACAACGGCCATGAGACTAATTTAATAAAATACACAGACTGCTAATCCAGTATTAATAAGGCTACTTACGGAGAAGGTATCGCGTCAATGAATATTGTCTCTAAATATCCATCGTTTATTACACTAATAACAAAAGGCAATTCAAATATTCTAGTCTGGATATTATTTTATCGAAGCCCACATTGCCTCGACAACCACTACATAAGGGTCGAAAGCCTTGGACAGGTCCAGAAATATTGTGTGGGTGTATGGGTACAATCATGTGTTTAAATATCGACTTACCCTAAATAGCGCCTTGTCTCGGTGTTTTTAAAGTTTTGTGAGCAAAAAGTAATTTTCAACACACTCCCTCATAAAGTGGCTCTAATCTCACGGCAATGAGGCACATCACGTAATGACACTTTCAATCAAACTGTGACTTTGTCATTACTATAATTCACTACTACCAAAAAGATTTTTTTAAACTATTTGTTGACTGACATTTGCGACGAAAAGCCCAAAGAAAAGAATCCACTTTTTTAGCGAATGGCACTAGGTGCGTAATTGGCACGTGACAAGAGGCACTCAATGAGGAAGTGTGTTGAAAATGCAGAATGAGGCATGAGGTGTGGCGCGTGTACCTGCGGGTCGCGCGCCACGACGTTGGCGACGAAGCGCGTGTCGCGCACGAGGCGCAGCAGGTGCGCGGCGGCGGGCGGCGGCCAGCGCCGGCCCGCGCTGCACGGCCGCACGCCCGCCAGCCGCGCGCGCAGCGCCTGCGCCGGCAGCCGCGCCCAGCAGCGCCGCAGCGGCCGCAGCGACGCCGCGCGCACCGTGTCCACCGTGCCGTAGTCCACGTGCCGCACCTGCGCGCGCTATTCTTGTACCGCCCGCTCTTTCGCGCCCGATTATTTGTACACTCCGAAAAAGACACTTCATTAGTGACTACCTTATTCCGAATTGCTATACGTCCTTAAACTGCGACCAGACGCCGAGGAGTGAGCAGCAGCATTCCATACATACCTCGGTGACCTAACTGAGACCCCGAGCCGCCTGCCAAGCGTAGGGAGTATGGCAAATCCTCCTTCATGATCAACGCAAATAGCACACGGCCCCCATTCATGATCTAGGTAGCGGATTAGGTAACGGCGGAGCAAGGGGTGCTAAGAATCCCCGGCAGAGGAACCGCTTCCAACCCCGACGAACTTTAGCCCCTACTGGCAACCGATGAAATTGAGCTGGAGGAAGAATTGAACCAAATGCGTTGGGACATCTTTGGACTGTCCGAAATCCGAAGAGAGAGCCAGGATACTATGGTCCTGGATTCCGGCAACATGCTCTTCTTCCGAGAAAGAGAGCGAAACTCCCAGGGTGGTATCGGATCGGGAACAGCGGCTAGATGACTTTGTGAAGAGAGCCTGTACTAAGTTAAAACAACAAGGCACCGGGCGATGACGGAATCACAACACAACTTTTTGGAGCAAGTGGAAAACCGATACTTTTAGTCCTCCAAAAGTTATTCAATTCCGAAACTAGAGTTCTGTTCTACAAAAAGGGAGATAACACTTTGCTGAAGAACTACAGACCTATCTCACTTCTGAGTCACGTGTACAAGCTGTTCTCGAGGGTCATCACGAACCGTCTCGAACGCAGGTTTGATGACTTCCAGCCTCTCGAACCGCGAAAAGCCGGTTTCCGAAAAGGCTTTAGCACCGTAGATCATATACATACGCGTCGCCAGATTATACAGGGTGACACTTAACGAAGCCGTTAACTACGCATACTGCAGTTCTAACTAAGTAGCTTTACGCTACAATTATCACTGGGAAACGACTTTTATTTATAGGAATCAAAAAAAAAAAAAATTATTGCGCGCAATGTAAAGCAAACGGGCTTCGTGTAACTGTGCGCGAAGGTTCACAGCTTATCATGAAAACGCTATGAACAATACGAAAATTTCCTGAGAGGAGACCTATCCGAATTACTGGACGACTTATCATTGAGTCATGATGGCTGCCCAGCACACTACCGAAGAAGTGTGAGACAAAGGCTGGACACGGCCTACCCTAATAAATGGATTGGGCGAGGTGGGCCTTTACCCTAGCCAGCTAGATGTCCAGACCTTACCCCGATGGATTTTTATGTATGGGGGCACATGAAGAGTCTGGTGTACAGCGAGCCCAACCCCATCCCATTACTGGAATCAATGCCGCAAACCCAATAAGGAGAAATCTTACTACTGGTGTGGTGAAAAGTGACCTCCGTAAAAGACTGCGGAGATGTGTTCAGAAAAGAGGCGAACACGTCGAACATTTATTGTAATTTAGCATAATTACCTTTTTTGCGATTTCTAATTTAATAAATTCGTATTTTGTACATGTCCTTTGTTTTATTTTTTCTCCCCGGTAGCTTTGGTAGCTAAGTTTGGTCTAAATTTTTTTAAGCAAACCTTGATATACCTCGTTGGATAACTGATGAAACGTAGATATTATAAAGCACATCTGCTAAACACGCGCCATATTATTTTTTTAGCTATCGTTTAAAGAAAAATAAATTTTCTTAATTTCAAAATGAATTTTTAATTTTTAATTATTCACAACAACCTATTTCGTTATTTTACGTACAATATTAGTTATTGAGGCCATAGAGCATCTTATTTTACAAGAAAAAAAACAATAATGGTTATGATAGCACTTTCAAATTTTTTGATAATCAAGCCGACAACCGAAAATCGGGATTTTTTTCTAAAAATCAATTAATTCAAATTTCTCAAAAACGGTTAGATTTCGGACAGGGTCTTTCATAGTCAAATTAGTCAGGACCGATTTAAACTACATGCTCTTAACGGGAATAGGTCGACTTAACCTGTAACCCTGTATAAAACATACACTATTTATAACTCAAGAACGGCTGAACCAATTTGGCTAAGAATTCGCAGTGACGTAGCTAAGAACTGGGAGAAGGACATAGGATAGGATAGGACACAGTAGGTAGTATAGGGTAGCTAGAATACGGTGGGTAAAGTAGGAAGTCAAATAACGGGAGCGACGCTGCGGGTAAGAGCTAGTATTGTTGAAACCTGTATAAACATGTTACAACAAACAATATTAAAATTGGCAAGACTAGCAGAATGTTAGTCCTTATATCAGCTTGGAGTTGCTAAAAGGTCACACTAGCGGTGGCATGGGCGCTGGATCGTTTAATGCCCTATAATATGGTTGAGTTGGGCGATGCTGGTGTACGTGTCATGATCGTGAACGGGCGCCGTCAATTGGGACTGGTCAGCTCCAGACTGTCTATTGTCCTTAAGGTTACTTTATTTTTATATTTGAATAAATATTAGTGTTACACTGTTCTCACATAATTGAACCAACTGTTTGTAAAAGGAATCTGTATGTCAAACTGATTTAAAAAGAGTAACCATGGAGTTTCTTGCTCGTTCTTCTCCATCGGAATCTACACTTTGGATCAAGCAAATAGCTTCACTAAGAAGACTGAATCTTCATAATTTTGTTTGACATTCAAAAGTGCCTGTATGCGTCTAATTGGAATAAATTTTTGGCTTTGACTTTTGACTTCATGACTATTTGACTGGACAAGTAAGAAGCTATTTAGTTTAAAATTGTAGTTTTTACTTTTTAATATGGGATGGATCACCTGATGGTAAGCAATCAGCGGGGCTCATGGACTCACACACAACACCAAACACAGAGAAATTCGGAGTGGAGGTGGATGGGGGGGCGAGTGAAGGTCGAGTGCGTACCTTGACGGTGTCGCTGTCGATGATCTTGACGATGAGCGAGCGGTGCCAGTCGTTCTCGTAGAGCGAGCTGCAGTAGTGGCCCACCCGCACGGCGCCGCGCGCCAGCGTCCGCGCGCGGCCCTCGCCGCAGTAGTAGCGCCTGCACACAGTCGCCGTCAGACCCGGCCCCACGCAGGCTCCGAGGCCGCGCCCCTCTACTCACGTCATGTCGTCCATCATGTCCTCCATGGCGATGTTGTACTGCTCCCCGAGCCGGATGAGCCAGAAGTGCGAGGGGGAGTAGACTTCGCCCACGATGACCTCCAGCATGGCCCCGGGCACGCAGTCCTCCAGTGACAGCGGCGGGATGCTCTCCATGTAGCTAATGCAATCCTCCGGAAACACGTCTGGGTCCTACGGGAACGATGGCAATGATACAGGTCGATTGCATTATAGCCAATGGGCGACGGGCGTCGCGCCACCTGTAGGTCGAGGCCACGCTTACAATTACCGTCGCCGCGGAACCATTTTTGGTAATTCGATATTCCCTTGAGTGAATGAAATACTAATTAGTTAGCAATATATGTAGAGTAAAATGATGATGCGTACAAAATCGATGCCGGGCAATGCATCGTCGGGGTCGGGGTCGGGCGTGGGCAGCGCGCAGGCCGGCGCGGGCAGCGAGCGGGCGAGGCGCGCGGCGCGGGCGCGGTCGGGGGCGCGGTCGGGGGCGCGGTCGGGGGCGCGCTGGCCGTCCTCCAGCAGCCAGTCGCCGACGGGGTCGGGCCGCGAGATGGCGACGCGGGGCTCCAGCGTGTACACCACGCTGAGGATGCTGTTGTACCCGAACCGCTTGAAGTTCAGCTCGCGCTCGTAGCGCTCCCTGCCACGATATCGTTACTGAGCAAAGCTGCGGACACGACTACATCATGGTGCAGTGTATCAACATTACTACCATGCATTTCCAAGATGTCGAAGCAACATTTTAATAAAGATAATTTCAGGGATGTCTACTGGTTGTGGTCCATGCACAACATATTTTTTTATAGTAACTATTTATAATAGTTAAAAAGTGAGGCAATATTTAACAAAATCCCGATAGGACAGGTTTCACAGTTTATATAAACATATTTTCTCAGAAAAAGTCTCTCTCTATTACTGAATGTTCACCTGTACAGTCTAATGAGATCCGTGCACCAGACCCCGCCGGGCGCTGCCGCGATCAGCTCCAGTATCTCCGACTTGAGCTCCTCGAACTGCCGAGCCTTGGTACTGGCGCTGCCTGGACAGAGCAGACGACGGTTATGTTAGTATGAATACATACACTCGGCCGAGACTCGCTACGCAAAATGCAAGTAGAGTAGCTCACTAGATGACGTGTGTCTCCCAGAATCCAGTTCGTCATTGTCAAGTGCGAGGGTTGCCGCTTCATCATTGTCGTCTTCAATAGTATGTAGGGCGTCGTACTGCGGGATGCGCTTTTTTAAGAAATTTTGGACGTCGTTGCTGGTAACAGCCTTTTCGTGATTATTGGCAACTGCAGAGGCAGGGGCAGTGTCACGCGCGACCGGCTCCGGCTGCCTGCCTTGGGGTTGCCGTTGGGGCTCCACGGGCGCCGGCTTACTTCTCGCCACGAATGATTTGAATACATTATCCTTTGGTGTGGCCACTGCTGCTTCAGGTACACTTCTTCTCTTTGATTTACTGCCAAAATAAACATTTAAATTATAATGACTTTACGTGCCGGCGTTTTTTGTTTTCATTTAAAAAAGGGAGACGCGCCTTCTTGTTACTGGGGCAAAAGAAAAAGACGTTTGTCACGTCATAACTTGTACCATTTAAGGAATAGATCTAAAAAGAGTCGTATTTGAGCACCGCATAGAATACATTCAGTCAACAAAGTATCGGGAATGAATGTTTTTTTTTATGGTTCCAAATTCGAATTTTAATTTTTTTTGTTGTTGTTAGATTGGCATAACTGTTTTCCATTTTGGCGAGGAATTTGAGTTGCATCTGTTATTTATATTAAAAACAGTGCTGTTTTTAGTTTTATAATATCTAGTGTGTATTGCGAATTTCATAATAGACAAAAACATCGAACAAAGAGTTTGTCTTAAATTTTGCATCGCCAATGAAATTTCGTGTTTGGAGGCACTCAAAATGTTACAGAAGGCTTACGGTGAATCGACTTTATCAAAAACACGTGCTTATGAGTGGTATAGAGCGTTCAAAAGCGGTCGAGATGTGATGGAGGATTTGCCTCGTTCTGGTAGGCCATCAACGTTTGCAACTGAAGTTAACATCGCAAAAGTGAAGGAAATAGTGACTGAAAATCCTCATCCAAATTTGAGAGAGATGGCCGCCGAACTTTCTGTATCTCACGAGTCGATCCGTACCATTTTAACAAATAATTTGGATATGAAACGTGTTGCCGCTCGGCTAATCCAAAAAGACCTGAATTTTCTTCAAAAACTAAATCGCATGAAAGTCGCTGAGGACATGCTAGAACGAGTCAATACCGACCCAACATTCATTGTTACTGGTGACGAGACGTGGGTTTACGAGTTTGATATGCAAACTAGTCAACGAGCTTCGGCGCCTTCCAACTGAACCAAAACCGAAAAAACCACGTCAAAGTCGATCAAAAGTCAAAGTCATGTTGACTGTTTTCTTTGACTATCGCGGTGTTGTGCACTCAGAATTCTTGCCCGAAGGTCAAACGGTAAATAAAGAATATTATTTGAGCGTTATGCGGCGTTTAAGAGAACAAATTCGACGAAAAAGGCCAGAAATGTGGAAAGAAAATTCTTGGATTTTGCATCACGATAATGCGCCTTCGCACAAGGCCATCATTGTAAACGATTTTTTGTCCAAACACTCAACAAACACCATCGAGCAGCCACCATATTCACCAGATATGGCTCCAGCCGACTTCTTTCTTTTTCCCACACTCAAATTACCCCTTCGTGGCACCCGTTTTCAATCGTTAGAAGACATAAAGGAGAATTCGCGGCGAGCACTGAACTCAATTCCGGAAACAGCGTTTAAAAAAAGTTTCGATGATTGGATTATTCGTTGGCGTAAGTGTATCGTTTCTGAAGGAGCATACTTTGAATTACAAACATTTTGTGTATTATTGACTTTTTCCCGGTACTTTCTTGACAGAGTAGTATTCTAATTGGGTGTGAATGTCCCTCCACGAGAAAGGGTCCTCATAGAATGCAGTACCACAGACTTTTACAAATATCCCACGTGAACAAACTACGAACGACTCTGGTGATGAGATTGCAAGGCATCGAGCTTCTTTTTATTTAGAAGAGAAGAAGTTGTGCAAATATAAGACTTTGCTAGTAATCAATCAGTTTTGTTATTTTCCCAAAGTGATTTTCGTCGAAAATAACGAGAACGGGAGATGATTTGCCGATCATGCGGGAGGGCTACGGCTACGGCCCAACAGTCACGGTATGTTGCTGTATTTATTCCGGAGCAAAATTTACTCATCGAACATTTTGTGACATCGCCTGTTGTTTTATTCAAGAATGTTCTATGTAGATCGCTACACAATAAATAATTGGGTAGTTTTAGGAAACTACCTTTACTTTTTTTGCAACAACGACGTTGCAGATTGTAGTACATGATGTAGGTCAGAAAAGTTTGGAAAAGATTTCGGTTGGAGCTCACTAACTACAGTCGACCTTCGACCCCGAGTCTCGACAGTGTAGAATGGTTTTACAAAATACAGCCTTGGCAAAAGTGTTGAGCACCCACGCCATCTTTAAGTTTGAAGCTGAGTATCAATCTATACTTTTATACTAATAATATTATAAAGAGGTAAAATTTGTAAGTTTGTATGTAGGGGGTAATATTTGGAACCGCTGGTCCGATTTCCAAAATTCTTTCACTGATAGATAGCTACAATGTTCCTGAGTGCTATAGACTAAAACATCAAGCTACGATTAAATGGAGCCGAGCAGCGAGTAAAACCGCGCGAGAGTAGCTAGTTTGAAATAAAACGAACTATTTTATATGGGTTTATTTTACTATTTTTAAATAACAAAATTAATATTTGGTTGGTCCACCTTGGCCTTAATTACAAGAGTAATTGAGTTGCACTCTAGGCTCAGGCAGCGTTTAAAATCTTCCTTGTTGTTGATTGTGTGGCGCCTAACCCTACGCTTTAATAAACCCCATAAAGGTCTATGGGGTTCCGATCTGGAGACTGGGCAGGCCAGTCAAGGAGTTCCGTGTTGTTTTCTCGAAACCATGACATTGTGCGAGCAGATTTGTGGCATGGTGCGTTATCTTGCTGGAATTTAACACCATCTATGTTCGTGTCCCTAAAAAGTTTTGTGAATGAAGGCAGTAACGCAGTTTCTACTACATTTATGTACTTAGTGGTCGGTCCTTGGTCTATTTTCCTATTTCTTAATGACTCTCTCAGTAACTGACGATCCTGACGGTCTGTGGTGATGCCGGTTCTTGGTCTATTTTCATGTGATTCGGTAGCAGAGAATCGCTGAATAGCATATTGCACGGATCAGCGCGAACATTCCACATTTTAAAGAAAGTTTGTTTTGTTTAGGCATTTTGCAACAACAACACTAAAATCTTCCGAAATAAAATACAAAAGGCGCAGTAGATCACTGAATGTACTGAATCACAAAGAGCGAGGGTAGCAAACTGATAAATAAATACAAAAATTGTAAAACACACATGTCTTTACTGGCCACGGCTTGCGACATTGTTTTTAAACCTTTGTAGATGAATGACAAAAATATTCTTCAACAATTGATTTGGTTTTGTCCAACACTTACCATGAGTGAGCGAAATTTGTGAGGTGCGCAATACTTTTGGTCAAGCCTGTAGAAATAGAGTAACAGTAAACTGAACAAAATGCTTGTAGATACTCACAATTTTGAAGTAGATGGTACTTTTTGTCTCTGTACAAACTTGTCAATGTGTTGTAATGTGTCTGGTACAATCAGGGTGAGAATTGGATTTGTTGTTGGACCTGTAAACTAAAACCACAGCTAATTTACGAAAAACAGTTATCTACTTTCCTCGGTGATTGACTGATCATTTGATTCATTCTATACAGCTGGATGATAATCATGCTACTTTGTACTTGCTACTTACTATAAACAATTAAAACCCAAAATATTGAGATTGAGTATAGTTTTATCAAATTTTCATATCTATAAAAACCCTACATTTAGATGAATCCAAAAATTAAGAATAGTTATGAATTTTAGAGTGGTCACTAACTAAGCAAAAGTGGTGATGCAAAACTACAGATAGGATGATGATTTATTGCAATGTAGTAATGCTCACCAGAAAGGAATCATTGCATCGCTCTCGCAAAAATGCAACAGGGTCCTTGTGGCCAAACTTAGCAATTGGAACAGGCTCGCCAACCATGTTGCGGTAGTCACGTAACAGACTGCGTACATCCATTTGTGTTGGGCTTGACACTACCAGAGACCGCAACAGGGATTTCAATTGTTTCATTTCCTCCTCCATTTTCTAAAACCCTGTAATTATGTTTTGTTAACAGTACCACTACCTAGAATCAAACTGAAGATTTAATTCTACACATGCAAACATAGCATGTCATAATATTTCCTGGATATATATTGGTCATATTATTTAATCAATAATGGGGAATGGATCACAAGGACTATTATAATTGTTCATGAATGTTTATTCTTAAACCATATATTAATATATATAAAAAAACCATATTGTATAAACTATATATTAACATTTGTTTACACTAATAATACGAGAACTCAAACAAGTTCTCACTGGTTTTCATAGGTACCGCCGTCGTCAGCAATGAATTAAATAAATTCGTAATAATTCGAAACCTTAGAGCATGTGGATAGACAACAAATTGTTGCGGTTACAGCCAATACTTACTAACAACTACACAAAATGAGGTTTCACTTCAAAAATAGCCGCCGGCCCAAATATCCGCCAGGACCTCATTCATAATAATCATTTCTTCATAGCTCTACCAGTAATATTAATCTACTGGCTGTCCAATCATTACTTTGATATGTTTTGCTTCACTGAGTTCTCTACATAGGTATAGTTCTCCTGTTATGCATCTACAGGCAATTTGTCTATTAATGGGTTTGCTCAGCCCTTGGCCTTCAAAATTCTTGGTACCTCAATCTAGCAATATTTCCAAATGACATTAAATGCAATATTTATAATTTAGGTTTAACCGAGTTATCTGACGGATATGGATGGCCAAATTAACCATAAATAATTATATTTGACTGATCTGACATTTATTCAACTTTGTTTATTTGACAGTTATAACCACATGGTTTCCATGGACGAATGGAGGAATTATTTTCTATGGTCAAACTAGGGTCAAACTAAGATGGTTTCCACTGGTTTTGTGCTCAGTCCACAGATGTATTAAGCTGTAACAGACTAAGTATTACCTACAAATTCTAAAGATAATAATCAATACTGTGCAATATGGTAAACAATTATGGACTAGTAGATGATAACTATGAAAATACCATGGCCTCTGCCCCTGACCAATATTGATACATAGGTACGGATATACAGGTAGGGGGTGACTGGTAAACTCGTTATGTAACGACAATCAGCAGCTGGCATGTAGCGACACGGGGCAACATGCTTTGAGGTGCGTGGGGAAGGTCAGGCATCCCAAGGCTTTCACAGCAATCCCGGAAGTATGATCAAGACCCCTACCAGCATCATATTGAGATACATCCTTCCCCCTAGTTACCTTCAACTCCTACCCTAGCGAATCTCCACTCAAGCCGGCAAATTAAGGCAAGAATGAGGTTGGAGGGCTTGTTCCTCATCATTGTTCACTACAGCTAGTCAGGAAGACTAGCCGGAGACGAAGGACAATACACTTCCCGGGACATAATTATATACATAATATGCTATCTACTCTTAATTTTAAGTTGGTCATGTTTTATCGTCGACCTACTCATCACGTTATGTCAGTAATGTTATATTAACATCCTAATCATAGGTTTACATGTGGGTTTACAACTATTTTTTCTAATATCTTTTACTGATTGCCATACCAGCGTGAAGTCTATAGCCATAAGAAATAAAACATAGACAATAAACTTTATATTTTTACATACTATGTGAAACAGTGAAACTCTCAGATCAAATCAGTGTCAGTGTCACACAGCACAGTACTGACAGATGTCATCTATCATGTTTTGGTCTAAGTGGTGTGGGTTGTATTAGAACTGAATCGAATTTCATTACGTAAGTTTAATTGCAAAATAATATCGAACGAGATGTCATTTTTACTGAAACGTACCCTCGGTGCAACTGCATACTGGGGACGCAGTATTTTTAACAATGTGAAAACCCCAATAACTGTGCGAGTTGCTACAAAAGCCGATCAGGCTGGACCCCAGGCAGAAACACGACCCACTGTGGCCAAAGTTGATCCTGTTCAAAAAACCCATTTAGTGGATTTTGGTAAATATGTCGCTGAATGTTTGCCGAAATATGTACAAAAGGTTCAATTAACAGCTGGGAACGAATTGGAAGTTCTTATCCCTCCTGAGGGTGTAATTCCCGTGTTGCAGTTTTTAAAAGACAACCACAGCGCACAATTCACGAATCTTGTAGACATTGCTGGCATGGATGTACCTAACCGACCCAACAGGTTTGAGATCATTTACAACCTGCTGTCTCTGCGGTACAATGCCAGAATTAGAGTCAAGACCTATACTGATGAGTTGACTCCTGTCGATTCTGCCAATGATGTATTTAAAGCTGCAAACTGGTATGAAAGAGAAATCTGGGACATGTTTGGAGTATTCTTTGCTAACCATCCTGATTTGAGGAGAATTTTGACTGACTATGGATTTGAGGGTCATCCATTTAGAAAAGATTTCCCACTGAGTGGCTATGTGGAGGTACGCTATGACGACGAGCAAAAACGAGTAGTAGTAGAGCCCTTGGAATTGGCTCAAGAGTTCAGGCGTTTTGAGTTAAGTGCTCCTTGGGAACAGTTCCCTAATTTCCGCAGCAACCCTGCTTCAGAAGAAGTTGTAAATCCAGCTGAAGAGAAGGCAAAACAATAATCAGCTGTTATAACTAGAGGAAATAGTATGTCTGTGAAATTTATTTAAATAAAGAACTTAAAGTCATCAATCTTGATTTATTGCTACTTAAAGTCAGACCTGGTGACACCTGCATTAATAGGAACTAGTGCTTCACTACTCAGGATGATGAAATTCTGTTTTCTATGAATTATTTAAGAATATAAAATTAAATGTAACATAAATTATACATCCTTCAAGTAAGTCTGTAATATGTTCAAGAAATGTCACAATTATTTTTGATGTGTGGTTTTGGATCTCCTGGCTGTTTGACAGGATTAATAGGCAAAATGATTATTGTTGCACATTTCAGTTTGGAGGGATAAAATAAAGTTTCCTGATTGCATTTTAAAGTGCTGTGTGAGTCATGCTCCTCGGTTTCTTGGCAATTCTTGAAAGAAAAATAGTACCTATATAGTTAAAGTATAGGTATAATCTATACAGGGTGCAATCAGCTCCTTATTCTGAATCATAGTCCAGTGAAAATTCTTTCAGGAAAATTTTCAAATTTTTTTTTCGTTTTTCCAGTTCCTACGCCTCTATTTCAATGTATAATTATATTCTCTGTATGAAGAATAACATTAATGTAAATAACACAGCTAAAACAAAAAAATAAGCAATGGTTGTGTGAATTCTCTAAAGAACTACGTATGAAATCAAAAATTCTACCTACCTAGAGTCGTTTCAGTTTGAACTCACCGCACCGCGGTCACGGCGCAGCGGCCGCGGCGTCCACCGCGCCCATCGCCGCGCCGTAGGTATACCTACGATCCCGTCCAACCACTGACCTCTTTAATAAACGCTGGACTGGAAATAGAAATAATTTATTTGCAGAAAATGTATGTTACAGATATGGTGACATGTTAATTTATATTGTCTCAATACATTTCGCCTTACGGCATGCAAAGTATTTGTTAGATAACGACTAAGTAGTTGACATTGACAACTAATTTAACTTAATTATCTTAAAACTTATAATATTAAACATTTTTACATTAAAACTTTAAATAAAAATAAAAAAAGACTAAACTAAAATGAAAGAAAAATGCTAAATAGAAAAAAAAAACATAAAAAAAAATAATAATAATAATACTTGATTGTGGGGCGATAGCAGCTTGTCGAGTAGCTAACGTCAGATTCCCAAATCTTAACGCAGCAGTCCGACCGAAACCAGCTGCTCCTGCCTGGCAGTGCAGGATTGAGCGTCGTATCGATGAGGCCAGGGTACTCATCGGCAAACTAACCTGCTTTAGGGAGGGGAATAACCGCCCTACAGTGATGCGCTTTGTAAGGCGTGCATTTGTGGGGACTGAAACTAGACCTCATGAATAAAATACCTTACACGTGTTACAGAGCGCATCGACTTCCTGAAGCAGAAAATCTATGCATGGGCAAACCGTATTAGACGATATAAAAAAGGGTAGAGCGCTATACTCAGAATCGTATGTTCCAAAGCGATCAGAGGTGGGTGTACAGAGACTGGGAACGGTCCAGCCAAGATGTGGTTAACGGACAGCGTCCGGACGATGAAACTACCAACTCGTTTTGGCGCAACATCTGGTCGGTGCCTGTTGACCACACGGAGGCTGACTGGATGTGCGATGTTAAGCGGGAGTGTGAACCTTTACCAGAGATAGAGAAGGTAGTAATTACCTCCTCTGATGTAGCTAATACAGCCTGTTCGGTCCCCAATTGGAATTCACCGGGGCCGGACGGACTGCTCAACTTTTGGCTGAAATCGTTCACCAGTTCACACGATCGCTTAGCGTCGCAGTTTCAGATGGCCTTAGAAGCTGGATCGTTGCCTCAGTTTCTGACTACAGGAATTACCCACCTGCTCCATAAATCAGGTAGTTACACTGAACCCAAAAGTTATAGACCGATTACGTGTTTACCAACGGTCTATAAACTTTTTACATCCATTTTGAGAGCAAAAATAACAAAACATGTAGAAAACAATTCCATCATGTCTGTCTCTCAGAATGGGTGTAGAAAGGGGTCACGTGGAACTAAGCTTTTTCCGGGCTCTCCACGGGCCCGATGTAGATTTTCTAGCGTCCGTAGCTTGGCTACGATTCAGTAACCTCTTCGGAAAAACTGAAGGATTTGTATGTGCAATTATGGACGAAGTTATCCTCACGAATAACGAGGATGTTGATGGAATCCATCAGACATATTATTTCCGGCTGTGGTCGTTTGGCTAATGGCGAATACTTGCACAGACATAATCAGGTGGCCAAGATTATTCATCAGCAACTTGCTTTGAAATACCGGCTTGTTAAGTATGAGGTTCCGTACTACAAGTATGTGCCCGACCCAGTTCTCGAAAAAGACCATATCACATTGTACTGGGATCGGTCTATCATCACAGACAGGACTATTGTAGCCAATAAGCCTGACATAGTGGTGGTAGACCGACTAGCGCGTCGCACGACGATAATCGATGTTGCCATTCCTCATGACGAGAACCTCGTGAAAGCTGAGAAAGATAAACAATTAAAATATCTTGACTTAGCTCGAGGTTGTTGACATGTGGAATGTGGACTCGGCTACCGTTGTGCCGATAGTTGTGTCGGCAAATGGGTTAGTCCCCAAAAGCCTCGACAACCACCTTAAGAGGCTGACGTTAGGCGGGATCAAGGGCCTCATACAGAAGGCAATCCTCCTTGAAACGGCACGTATTGTGAGGAGGTTCCTGTCTATGGAGCACCAACTGCCGGTAGCTTGGATCGTGCTCCCGCTGCCGGCTGGCTCCTACTTTAATATTTTTAAATATTATTTTATTTTATTTTATAGTAATATTTAAAAGTGTATTTTAGTGTAATTTTAATAAATATATGAGATAATACTTGATATGGATAAACTCTGTGGCTCGATGTCAAAATGACATATAGCGGCATACATACCTACATTCTATGGCATAACCACCACACCTCATACCTATTATCAGATAACCATTACCGTACCTCCTTGAAGAACCAGATTACCTTTGCCATACCTCCGTGACCAACAAACCAATACCTTCGTTTTTGACTTTCTGTGATCAGAAACAGTGAAACAGGCCGCCTTGAAAAAGGCGTTGCAAACGTTTTAGACTTCTGACAGAAACTCGTCTTGAAAAAGACGCTTGTAACGTTTTTGACTTCTGCTGACAGAAACTCGTCTTGAAAAAGACGTTTTAAAACGTTTTTGACTTCTGCTCAGAAACGAGGTATAATGAGCAAGCAAATAAGCAGGCAAGCAAGCAGAAGCGAAGCTCGAAGAACACGAAGACACGAAGTCGCGGTCCACGACACTGGACACGTCTGTAGTCGTCGGCGGCACCGGAGCGAAAGGACGCGTCACGCGGCACGCGCCCTATTATAGCCTCGCGCTGTGCTCGCGACATCACGACGAACGGCGACCGCGACGGCGCATGCGCGCAGCCGCTCTGTCGAGCCTTGCGACGAACGCGCGCTGCTATTGGTAGATGATATATACCTATGTGTGATAGCGTGTAAGTTAGCCCTAAGACCTGTAAATATTAGTAGGGACATTTGGGCGAATAAATCATTCCAAACCACGACAGCCTCGAGTTAATTACAAGAAGAAACCCTGCTCTCACTCCTAAATTGGTGACCCTCCTGAAGAAAAAGAACACAAAATAAATATAAAGACGGCAAACCCCTGCAAGTCAGAAGAATCATGACAAACAGCGAAGAATTCAGCGACGCCCACGGCGTAACGACAGTGCAGAGCGACGTGGCGACAATAACCCTGCCCGCAAGATTGCCACCATTTTGGCGCCAAAATCCTCGCCTATGGTTTGCGCAATTCGAGGCAGCTGTCGCCGCCAGCAAAATAGGAGAAGAGCAGAAGTTTAACCTCGTCGTACCATTGCTCGGCAACAACGACCTTGAACCGATCGCCGACATCATCTTCAACCCCCCAGCGTCCGGCAAGTACAGCACATTGAAAGAAGAGTCTGACCATCGCCAGCTTCAGAAACTGCTGAGTGGTCTCGAGCTCGGCGACCAAAGACCGAGCCAGCTACTCCGCAAGATGCGTGACCTCAGCGGCAAACTCCTGTCCGACAAGGCTCTTAAAGTAATGTGGCTGAATCAACTGCCAGCTCAAATACGCGCCGTACTCTCCGTCAACACAGAGTCATCCCTCGAGATGCTAGCCGCAATGGCTGACAAAATGATGGAGCACTTCGAGCCAGCATCCATCAACGCAGTCTCCACAGCAACAACGTGTCAAGAGACCCTACAAATCTCCTCACTGTCGAAGCAAATGGGGAAGCTGTCTCTCGAAATCGCCGACCTCCGCACCAACCAGCAAAGTTACCGATATTCCCCGCGCTTCACACACCGCAACCGTTCACGCTCCCAATCAAGATCCAGACATCACACGCATAACAATATCAAGCCCGGCGACCCGAATTGGGTGTGTCGCTATCACTACAGATTCGGCGACCAAGCACGCAAATGCGAATCGCCGTGTTCAAAAAAGCGGGAAAACTAGAAAGCACATCGACGTTGGCGGGCGTCGATGTAAACCAAACCAGCCGCCGACTATGTATCATCGACATTAACCTCCGAGAGAAATTTCTTGTTGACACGGGAGCAGACATATCCGTCCTATCAGCAAGAAATAAAAAACACATCAAGCCGGCAAAGACCTCATACAAACTGTTCGCGGCCAACGGCACCGAAATTCGTACCTACGGAGAGCGCACACTCGAGCTCAACCTAGGCTTACGAAGACGATTTAGGTGGACATTCGTCGTGGCCGACGTAAACACATCTATACTGGGCGCAGACTTCCTAGTACATCACCAACTACTAGTCGACCTGCATCAAAGAAAACTCATAGACCGCATCACAGAACTTAGTGTTAACGCGATCAAAATCAACGGCACAGAGCAAGAAACCGTCTACATGGTAAACCGCGATCACGCTTATCACGACCTACTAAAAAAATATCCCGATGTTCTGCGACCTATGTCATTGAAGACTCCCATCAAACATGACGTCACTCACCACATCGAGACAACCGGACCGCCTATAT